GCCTGCAGTCCAGTGTGAAGGAGTTAAACGACTTGTAGTCCAAAGAGAGGGATTAAAACTGAGAGCTTGCAGTCCAGTGTGAGGGATTTAAACGGAGCTTGCAGTCCAAAGTGAGGGATTAAAACTGAGAGCTTGTAGTCCAGTGTGAGGGATTTAAACAGAGCTTGCAGTCCAGTGTGAGGGATTTAAACAGAGCTTGCAGTCCAAAGTGAGGGATTAAAACTGAGCCCGCAGTCCAAGAGAGGGGTTTAAACTGAGAGCCTGCAGTCCAGTGTGAAGGAGTTAAACAACTTGTAGTCCAAAGTGAGGGATTAATACTGAGAGCTTGCAGTCCAGTTTGAGGGATTCAAACAGAGCCTGCAGTCCTAAGTGAGGGATTAAAACTGAGAGCTTGCAGTCCAATGTGAGGGATTCAAATTGAGAGCCGCAGTCCAAAGAGAGGGATTTAAACAGAGCTTGTAGTCCAAGAGAGGGATTCAAAGAGAGAGCCGCAGTCCAAAGAGAGGGATTTAACAGAGCTTGTAGTCCAAGAGAGGGATTTAAGGAGAGCCTGTAGTCCAATGTGAGGGATTAAAACTGAGAGCTTGCAGTCCAATGTGAGGGATTAAAACGGAGCTTGTAGTCCAAGTGAGGGATTTAAAGTTAGAGCCGCAGTCCAAGGAGGGATTTAAACAGAGCTTGTAGTCCAAGAGAGGGATTCAAAGAGAGAGCCGCAGTCCAAGAGGGAGGGATTTAAACAGGGCTTGTAGTCCAAGAGGGGGATTTAAAGAGAGCCTGCAGACCAATGCGAGGGCTTTAAACTGAGAGCTTGCACACCAATGCGCTGGGCCAACTGAGCCTGCAGTACAAAGCTCGGGGCCAAAACCGAGCCTGCAGTACAATGCGAGGGGAATAAACCGTCCGCAGGTCAGCATACTTACCCACAACGCCAGAAGACAAGGAAAAAACAACGGGACCACACCGTACCGGCACGAGGAGGCAGGGATGCGCACAGCTCCCACCGCACCGGTCCAGACCGGCCGTATGCAGCAGCAGGCCGCGACGAGACGAGCAGCGGCGAACCCGCAGAAAGAGCCCGCAAAGGAGGAGAGCGGCAAAGACCCGCGGACCACAGCACGAGACCCGCAGCAGGTGCAGCGACGCGGAGGAGGAGCAGACCACACGCAGCAAGACAGAGGACAGCAGGGACCGCAGGAGTAAGCGTGAGTAGACAAAGCGATTCCTCCAGAACGACTCTTTGCAAGGCTTCAAGAAGGCCGTAAAGTGGGAGTTTCTCCGCTTTTAAGCGGCTGGCCTGGCCGGCATAGGTTGGTTGGAAATGGGCGTTTGCTGTGTGATAGGCTGGGGATGCGAGGCCGGCTTGGAAGGGGTGGCTTTGGCTGACGTCTTCCAGAATTGAATTTCCGCGAGGCTGCATTTCAGTCTATGATGAGCTCTGAATCCTGATTGAAAGACTTCAAACATATTATTTTCCTGAAGGTGGCAGCAAAGCTGTTCAGCTATCAGCTTTTCCAGGATTTTAGATATGAAAGTAAGGTTTGAGATCGGTCTGTAGCTTGTAAGTAGTTCCGGATCCAGGTTTGTTTTCTTCAGGAGGGGTTTGATTACAGCGGTTTTAAAAGCTTGTGGGACATAGCCACATTGAATGGATGCGTTTATTATATTTAGGCTCTACTATCAAAGGAAGTGTGTCTTTGAAGAGACAAGCCGGGATTGCATCTAGAATGCAGGTTGAGGCTTTAGAAGATGTGACCACAGAGATCCCTTGCTCTTGGCTCACAGCCGAGAACTGGTCGAGGCACACTGAAGAGTCCAGGTGGGAGCAGGATTACTATTGCAACAACACATCATCAGTAGGGTAAAACTAACCTGTCTCACGACGGTCTAATCCCAGACATTACAATCGTGCAGTGTCTCCACTAGAGGGCGACACTCTCTGTGACACACGGAGTCAGTTGCTGCAAAACCAAGTGTCAGTGGGCCTCATGCATGAGACTTGCGTACGGCCAAATCAAGGTGTAAATGATGCGTACGCAAAACATTTACACTTTTCCGCATTTATCAATCTGGACGTGAGCGTACGATATGCACAGAATTTACACCAAGTCAATAGGTGGTGTAAATGTGTACGCTCATTTCAACCTTCATTACAACACGCCAAAACACGCATGAAATTCAAGATTTTGACAACAATAAACATGTTACCACTCTGGCAAAATTATAAGCTGCGTTTTCATTGCGCATCATGTTTCTAAATTTAAATTTGCGCATCTGAAAAACTCTAATGGAAACACGCAAACTTTGAATAAATCACAGATCAAGGAGACTCTTCTGTTTCTATGATTTTAAATCTGACTTGTGTGTGTATTATTTTGATCTGTATGTTTTTAAAATGTGAAGCGCATGTGAAGACAGGGATGTGTGACCCATCTATTGCTTTGTAAATCGGTGGCAGGCCTGCATGCGTTGCGTAATTACGCACGGCTATATTTTTCCTCATTCACATCTGGTAAAGCAATGTATTATTTAATTAGATTTGTGTAAGCCTCACACAGACAAACACAAACGCACCGATGGATGGTATTGCTCTCTCCAAATGTCTCACTGCCCTCTCCAGACTCACTGCTCTGTCCAGAGTGTGCAGCGGGTCTGTGAGAGGTCGCGCCGCAAAACTCCTGTCATTCAGAAGTTTTGGCTCCATAGTTTCTTTGTAAAATCTGGATCTCTCTCAGGGTATAGTGCTTCGATGCGCACTTCTACCCCGAGCCAGGCTGCGTCCAAGACGCTGCAGACGCTTCATTGATAAGAGCCACCGCTGCAATATATATATGAATGCATTCATTCATTCTTTATCTATTCACTTCTACAATCCAAGAGAGATTTTTCTAATGTATCAAAACATTTTTGCAAATTTGTTCAAAACGCAGCTGAATATATAGTATAGTAGTAGACTATTTTTTTACATAAACATGAGCAAACAAACGTGCCTTTGGGGGCTTTCAAACAATCTTTTTGGCCGGCTTCCTGGCTGACCTGACGCAAAAACGGGCGTGAAACACGCGATTGCTGCATAATTCTAGGCGTGACTTTCATAAATACGTTAGTTTTCAGCCGCGGCATTTATCAACACCCGCAGGTGCGTACGCTCAGATCTCGGTGTATCTCACACGTTCATAAATCCGACATTGGATTTTGCGTAAATGGAATATACACCCAAAATGTACACCTTTTTCTACGCAAGTTTCATACATGAGGCCCAGTGTGAGAAACTCCGCAGATCCACAGAGTTCACATGAGGAACACCCAGCTGAACTTATTCACATCATTTTGAGACTGTTCTATCTTATAAAAACACTTCATGAAAAGTCTGGTAGATTATTTCTTGTTCGAAGACGGATCAGACACTTAAAGAGACCAAAAGCAGAGAAACCATAAGACTATAACCACTCATAACGAGGACAAGGTAGAGAGTGTTCAGTATCAGCCCCATGTGATCACAGCACCATTCTAATAAAGTACAGACTGGGACTCTTCCACAGCTCTAGAGAAGTCCAGGGTGCAGACTCCAACTGTTTTTTTTGAGTCTCAATTCACTTCAATTTATTTCTGTTTAGCCTAAAGTTATCAGCTGAATTCATCTCAGCGGACTTTACAAAGTTGTCAATTCCTCAACACACGTTTTTGATGCCTTGAACCTTGTCATTGAAAAAATGTGCAAACTCATTGCATTTACATTTGGACGTAAGCTCTAATGGCAGCTGAACAGGGGGATTTGTTAATCTATTAACTGTTGAAAACAGAACACTCAGATTGTTACTGCAGCCTTCAATCATTTCAGAAAATACCTTTCTCTCGCACTACGTAGCACCCGGTTAAACTCGCACAACTTATCCTTGAATATCTTGTAATCAACCTGGAGGTTGGACATGCGCCACTTCCGCTCGGCCCTCCGGTACTTTCTCTTTTGTGCTCTGACCGAGTCTGCTTTAGCCCACGGCGCCTTCTGCTTATTTTTCACTATTTTAACCTTCACAGGGGCAACGGTATCCAGAACATTCAAAACACTAGAGGTGACAGAGTTAAATAGTTCATCTACAGTAGAATACGATGCATTTTCAAAGTTTATCATTCCCATAAATAGTTCACTTGTATTTTAATTTATGTGTCTTCTTCGAACAATTGCAGAGTCCACTGGTGGTTTGTTAGTGAAACACATGTCAACAAATACACAGAAATGATCCGAAAGAGCAACGTTTACATTTGAAATATTCACCCCCTTAGTAACTAACAGGTCTAGAGTGTGCCCTCTGCTGTGGGTGGGGCCACTCACGTGCTGAGTGAGACCAAAGGTATCGAGTAAAGAACTCGGTATGTGAAATTCCCCATTCAAAATCCCCATTGGGAATTCAAAAAAAAAAGTTTTCTCTGAGGATTATTGACCACAAGCTCGGCATTCAAATATAAAGTATGTGTTTCAAGGATGAAAATAAGCAAAGTTAAGCAGGATTCAATGTTTTTGTGATGACGTCTTCTTTTGAACTTTACTTCTTAAACTCCAAGCTCCGCCTATCTAGATACTTCACCCACTTTGCCTTGAATGAGTCTGGTGTCATGTGTGTGAATGGTTGGTGGTGGACAGAGGGCCCAATGGCACATACTGTACTGGTTTGCATTGCTTCTGTCAGTGTGCCCCAGGACAGCTGTGGCCACAGCAGTATTTAATCACCATCATGTGTGGAGTGAATGAATAATGACATGTGACGCGTTTTTGCGTGTCTTGAAAAGCGCTGTATAAAACCAATGCATTACTATTATTATTATTTTTATTACTAACTTCACAGCTCTATGCTTTCCTTGTTGGCAGTAATTTGCATTGGTTGGCTATTATTTCTTTATACTTGCAAGGCATTTGTGGAGAAAACTGGATTTTGGGTATTTAGGATTGATTAAACATTGATTTCTATTACTTTTATGCATACATATTTTTTTAAATGGCAACCATGTCCAATGAGGGCAGGCTTGGTAATGATAGATAAGTACATGATCGTTTTTAGAGGCCATTTATTTGTAATTTCTCATGACGATGTCGTCAGCCAAGTTCAGCCCAATCTGCTGTGGACAGTTATGACGTGAGTACACAAATTTTCTCCTCTGAAACACTTCTAGCATCTCCTGGGTGAGAAAATGGATATGATTCAGACCGATGATGTGTTTGTTTTGTTTTGCAGGCGGAAAACTGTGGTGGGCCGACGATGACTCGGCACAACTGGGCACGGTGACCAAGAGAGACGGACGAAACCCTGTGGTCCTTCGCAACAAGACGAGCGGAGTGGTGCACATGAAAGTCTACGACAGAGAGGGCCAGAAGGGTGAGTGCATGGAGCCTTAGTAATGGATGCACATGCTTTTAAATAGGGGAGATTTTGAGGCATGTTCACCATTTTAAAGATGTCAATTCTAATTTCAGATTAGAATCTTGTTTAGTGTAGAGAGATGTGTGGACAGAAAGATAGATAGATAGATAGATAGACAGATAGATAGATAGATAATTGGGTAGATTGATAGTTAGGTTGATAGATAGTTAGGTGGACAGATAGATAGTTAGGAAGATATATAGTTAGGTAGACGGATATATAGCTAGATATAACACCTTGTTATTTATTGTTGTAACTTTTTGTGTTTTTAACTATTTTATTGTTTTTAATTACTTGTGTGATTCTTATGTTTTTAAATTACTTATGTGATTTTAATGCTTTTTAATTACATATGTGTTTTTAATTGTATTTTAATGGTGATGATTTGTGCATGTGGACTGTGAGGCGCTTTGTGTTGCCCTGTGCAGGAAAAGCGCCCTATAAATAAAGATTGATTGATTGATTGATAGATAGATATGTAGGTGGGAGGGTAGGTAGGTCGGTCGGCCGGTAGATACAGCAATTTCACTAGTAGGCAATACAGACCCACAAACCTCACAAACAATAGGTCATAATTCATGGAAAAAACATACCAATCGTCTGAAATTTATAACTCAGGAATAAACAGTGTTCATTGGAGGAGTAGGGATAAAAGATCTAAAGCCCTCCGCTCCGCACTGTGCAACTTGTGATTGAGACCACTGCTGTCAGCCCTCTCACCACTTATTTCTAAGTTGGACGGCACGTTGGGTTGGTGTCCTCAAACAGAGCCACCAGGTAGAGCTTTGGTAGCGCAGGTCGGTCCTGAAGTCCTGGGTGATCTCTCTGACCAGACGCTTGAGTGGCAGTTTGTGGAATCTCTCTCCTTCATTCCTTCATTCAAAGCCGTGGTGCCTGTAGCATTGGCGCTTCCTCACTTGGCCGGAGATCAGGACGCTCTTGTTGACCCGCCTTGGTGACGAGCTGCTTCCTCTGAACCTTTCTATTTGTGGATATAAGTGCAGTCTGCGTGTTTCTGGACATTTCCTCTCCTCTGGTTCAGTGTAAAACCTTAAAAGCTGTACTTTTTAGTAAGAGGTGAATAGGTGAATGAATAATGACTTACTTCAGACTTATCCAATTGCCGGCAATATGGATTGTAAAACTATGTTGATGGATTTGGGTGGCTCTGGACTTTAACATGAAATGCAATCTACACACCACGGCTACATTGGCACTATATATGGAATTCTGTGACACAATCAAAAACAAGTGTCAGTACATACAATTAATGCTAGACATTGGATTCCCAAAGAACCTGGGCTTAGAAAATGACTATATGGATGGTGCTGAAGTTGGCTGAATAACACTGTGAAAGTACCTCAATTACTATTTGTGTTTCTTAGGCAGAGAACCACATAGACTGACACAGAAGGCCACATTTGGTTTGTTTAGTTTTGACAATAGCTACTGTATATAATATCAAGAGCAGTTCAAACCAACACAAATTATAGTGACACGTATAGATTGTTGGTACAACACATTTATTAGGCACTAACGTCAAATGCATTACATTATATTATTTTGTTTGTACGTGTATGTATGGAAGCCCGTTTCCGCCATGTAAAAAAAAAAAAAAAGCATACAGAAAGTCAAAATTAAAACAAAAATCATACAATCAAAATTACAAGTTTTCAACTGCGCATGTGCAGTTGAAAACTCGTATGTGTTGTTGTCTGGAACGGTCTCTGGACGTTCTTCACCTGCAGATTATGTGAAGATATTGCTGACAGCGACCACTGCATCCTTGAAGTAGCCAGAAATAATGTTGTATGATTGATTCTGTAAAACTTTCCTGTTTAAGCCCCAGACCGCGGTCGTAGGACGCAGGGAGGAGCTGTCTTTTTATTTATTTATGTTAAATTCAATTTACATATATACAACATTTAAATCAAACGACTTCTTATTTCGACATAGTAACAAATAATGTGAGCAATACGTTTTTATAATAAATCAAAGGAAAATGAGCCATCGAGACATTCCAATCCAATCTGCTGTAGACCACTCTGACCAGACGATGGCGCTGAGAGGGGTCCACACGGAGCGAGTATTTCCACGGCTGAAATGATGCGCTTTCTACGTGTTGAGTACGGGGTTTTATTCATGCATCTATAATGGGTTTATCTATTTCTAACCCTTTTCAAAGACCCTCACTGTTATCTGCGGAGTTATTTCTCCGGTTTGTTGCTAAAAGAGTCGTGGGCTTTATTTTGTCACAATAAAATAATCAGACAAGGTACTTATTCCCTGTTTGTCTCTGTGTTCTTGCTCATACGCCAACAACTTTACCACACGCTCGCTCCATCAGCTCACCCCCGCGTGCACGCAAACACGTCACATACTCTTCAATGCACTGATCGCAATTCCAAAAGGGTAATAATGTCAGTGCCCGTGACTGGGGTTCTCCTGCCTCTGTCTGTGGTTCTCCTGCCTCTGTCTGTGGTTCTCCTGCCTCTGTCTGTGGTTCTCCTGCCTCTGTCTGTGGTTTACCTGCCTCTGTCTGTGGTTTACCTGCCTCTGTCTGTGGTTCTCCTGCCTCTGTCTGCGGTTTACCTGCCTCTGTCTGTGGTTCTCCTGCCTCTGTCTGTGGTTTACCTGCCTCTGTCTGTGGTTCTCCTGCCTCTGTCTGTGGTTTACCTGCCTCTGTCTGTGGTTCTCCTGCCTCTGTCTGCGGTTTACCTGCCTCTGTCTGTGGTTTACCTGCCTCTGTCTGTGGTTTACCTGCCTCTGTCTGTGGTTCTCCTGCCTCTGTCTGTGGTTCTCCTGCCTCTGTCTGCGGACCTCCCTCACTATCCAGTAATCGCGAACGGTCTCTCTGTCAGTCACAATAATATTCACTGCATTTCTGGTGCATCCATCGATCGCAATGATACTGACCAGACGTCACCAGTTGATGCTCAATGACTTTGAACAGCCACATGTGTTTTATTATTAATCTTCCACAGTCCGTTTAGGATAAACTAAATAGAGGCTTCTGAAGCGGATTCTAATCATAAACGGAGAGACCGTTTGCATTTTAACGCGATTACTACCACAACATTATTGCTGCTACTTCATGGATGTGGTCACTGTCTGTAGGCAAAATCTTCACATAATCTGCAGGTAGAGGATGACCCATGGATCTATAACAGGGATGACCAGAGACCGTTCCAGACAACAACACATACGAGTTTTCAACTGCACATGCGCAGTTGAAAACTCGTAATTTTGACTTTTAAAGTCGAAATTTTGACTTTTAAAGTCGAAATTTTGACTTTTAAAGTCGTAATTTTGACTTTTAAAGTCAAAATTTTGACTTTCTGTAGGCTTTTTTTTTTTTTTACATGGCGGAAACGGGCTTCCATATGTATGTATGCATTACTTTTCCAGAAACTTTCCTACACCCACAGTCACTCATTCACACACTCACCTACCACATCCATTCATAAGCAAGATGGGTGATGTCTCCAACTCAGGGATGAAGTAAATAACTATATTATTCATTGTATATTGCCTGTGTAAGCAGGTGGACAAACTTGCCTCACAACTTGACGTAGCTCTCAATTTTGAGTCAGCCTGAATAAATATGCATCACATTAGCTTCTGTGCTTTTGGGCAAGACACTTAATCCAGCTTGCCACTTTGAAGCATCCACACAAGTATGTTTGATGGTGTTGGAGCGAGCCAGGAGGTGAAGAATTGCAGCAATGACTCAAGGGTGAATGAATAATGCACCTAGTTGTAATGTAAGGCAACTTGTAGTGGCCAGAAAATGCCTCATAGAAAACAGTATAAAAGAAATAATGTTACAGACGCATAAGTTGTAGAAGAAGACTTGGCTGATGAGTAAACTTTCTATGCAAATTCCCCAACTAACTGTCAGATGAAAGCATTACCAATAGTCTCTCTCTTCCTTTTTGTTTGTTATTTCTCTTTTAAATGCAGGAAGGAACCCGTGCCAGGTAAACAACGGTGGGTGCTCACAGCTATGCTTCCCCACTTCAGAGAACAGCCGGAGTTGCTCCTGCACCGTTGGATACAACCTGCGCAGCGACCGAATGTCTTGTGAAGGTAGGGGTCCTCCAAGCTAATAAACAGTCACAGTCGGAATTTCAATATGAGTTTAGAGTGAAGAGAATTAGAGTATTTCCTTACACATGCAGGACAGTGTTGATGATCTAGGACACTCGACATTCAACAACATTTTTGGATTTGTATCAACATTTATGGACCTTAGTCATCTACCCCTTATGGACCAAGGACTTTACATTGCAAAAAAATTCAACAGGGGTAATAATTGCTTGAATTAAGTGCTTTTTGTCTTAATTTGAGTACATTCTGACTCTCCTATAACAAGCTTTGCCAATGGGATAAAGCCATTTAGTCTTATTTCAAGAATCGTCATGTCATGACGGTTCCCCTTTATTATTCCGTTTTTGGGTTGAGGTGGTGGCAATCAGAGGTTCCACCCAAATCATATAGCATCGACCCTTCGCTGATCCTCCTGCAGGTGATGGGGCTACAGGAAGATGGCTGCTGCTTCGACGAAGATACGGCCTTGGTGTTTCAGCGGGGGCTTCGGGAAATGTGGGGTTAAGTGTCTTGCCCAGGGACACAATGACAGCAGACTTCAGTGGGAGCAGATGACATAGGTTGTGGGGGGATCGAACACAAGACCATTAGGTTTAGCGATCAATGCTTGACCATCTGAGCCACTGTCGCCCTCAGTTCAAAAACTGTTGCTCTATTTTCTCATTACAAGAGAGACATTCCTTGTATCATAAACAAGATCATTTAGCTTGTCCCATTGGCAAATACTGTTTTAAGGCAGTCAGAATGTGCTCAAATTTTGCCATATTTGAGGACTTTTTGACTTATTTTTCAGCACTTGTTGCAGTGTATGTGTTTTTTTTTTTAATCATTGCATTTGTTGTGTGTACAAAAGTTTTATAAAGTCCTCCATGGTTTAGTTGTGATTAAGGGCTATACCAGAATAGATTGAATTGAATATCTGAGCTTGAAATACTTTAAAAAATAATAATGAAATAATGCCATTCTGTTCTCAGGTGTGGATTCCTTTTTGATGTATTCAATCCACGAGGGAATCAGAGGGATCGCGTTGGACCCGGACGACCACAGCGAGGCCCTCATGGCCATCACAGGGACGCTGTTTGCCGTGGGAGTTGACTTTCATGCAGGTACAAAGAGCAGGCCATCGACGGATAAAGCGGAGCTGGACTTCATTTGAATAATCACGCATAGGCAGTGTATGCTAATGCTCTTGTGGCATTGCTCATTATAGAAGCTCGGTGACAATTGAATTATTCACTTGTTTTTGATTGTGTGAAGTAGAGCTACGGAATATGGAAACGGCTCTACTTCACACTGTCAACATAGAATTTTAAGTATTTTTCAGTGAAATGATGATAGATTGAAATTGTATAGATGAAAAAAAAGTCACCCATTTTATGCAAACACAAGAATCAACATAGTGTTTTCTGTGTTCCGCTGTGTATTATTTTTCTTATCGTCATGGAAACTAGGTAATTGCATCAGGCCAAGTTACAGGTCAGATTCTCCCAAGCGCGCATTTATTTATTTTTTTCCAAACCCGAAAAAAGCAATTTAATAGATGCATGATTATTCAACAAGAACTGGAGACAAGCAAAGTTTCTTAATGTATTTTCAGAGATCCTCATACTGTAGGAAAAAAAATACAAATCTGTTAAGAGATAAGATAAAATAAGATATTCCTTTATTCGTCCCGCAGTGGGAAATAATTGTTGCGCACATTACAGCAGAGAAAGAAGGAAATAAGAGCACCCAGATTGCACACCTCAAACAGAGTCTATTATTCACGATAATAGACAGTAAAATTAAAATAGGTTAAATAGAGTAACATAAAATATAATTAAATCTGCATTCCAGATGTACAGACCAATATTGGAATATATATATTTGTCTCTGATGTTGGTGAAAAATTTACTGCCAAAATCAATATTCCTTCAGTAAAACGGAGAGGCTAAAGTTCAGTTAACTGAAATGAAAAGTTTCCTCAATAGCAAACCCTTCTCTGTTCAGTGGGCTGCCAAAAATACAAACAAACACACACACACACACACACGCACACACAACAAAGCATGTACAATGATGCATTTATCAGTACAATATATTGTCTGAGTTTGTGTGGGCTGATTGGACGCTAGCTTTAAACATGAAACTTACATGATTTGGTCTTTTGTCAACTTCTATCAAACGATATTTTTTTTCATATCCGTGGCTGTGTTCCCTGCAGCGCAACTTTGCCTTCCTCAGTCTTTTTAAAACAAGGAGCGACAAGGAAAAGTATTAGTTCTTGTGGGTTCTAACCTTTTGAATAATGGTCCGTGGGCATGCGGAGTGCAGCCTAGATGAAAGAGTAATAAGTTCGCATTACACAAAAGTCTCCGCATGAATAACATTAAAAGAAAGAAATTTCTTCAAGCTCTTGCGACAATCCTTACACAAAGCAATTCCCCGGTTGTTGTATCAAATGAAGGCAATGTAACATCCGACAGAAATGTGTGGACCCGGTGGCTTTGGCTGTCGCTTTCTCTCCCCTGATTCTATATTCTCCTTTTTCTCTCACTTTCTGCATTTTGTGTGATAAAAAAGAAAATGTATAACAAGGGCAAATAGTATGAGTACAGTCAGGGTGTGTTCTGTCATCTCTGTCATATATAAGTAATCACAGTATCTATTCATGGACATGGCTCAGAAGATATCCACATAGAAAGTCCAATAATGTGGCCTGTCTTAGAATGAAATGAAATAATGTTTTTTGTCGCAGTAAGATACTTATTAAAGCAGTGCAATCATTTATATCTTTGAAACATCTTGGTTCAGAGCGTTAAGTGAGTAAGTAATCTGGATTTACTGTATATAGCGCATACAGACCAGTCGATGGGACATTTAATTAGCGTTCTTGAGCCACGCTACAGTATGCTACGGTGTGCTGTAAGAAAAAGAGAAGAGATGGATAATCGAATTGTGATCCTAAAATACAAAAAAATCATTGATTGAATGGAGTATTTGGAGAATTGTGACACCCCTAGTGCTTGCACTACCCCAGAAACTCCTATTTTGGTTAACTGTGAATCTTGTTAATATGCATTTAATACAGGCATAAAATACTTATTGTATACCAGATTGGTTTTATGTTAGGGTTTGAAAACATGTCTAAATAGATTGATATAAATTATACAACTAAAATTAGAACTTGAGACATCAAAATTCCTGATGAATTTAAAGTCATACAAAATTATGCATTGGTTCAAAATCACGTATTGTTCCCAGAATTTCAGCAGAATCTGGTGGTTACTAAAGTAATAAAAATAAGATAACAAATACAAATATATGACAGTATAGATACTAATTCAATTACTGGTAAATTTTGATACAAAATGCAGTGCAATAAAAGATTTTGGATAGAAGAGGAATGTACTTTTCACGTTTCCTTAAATTGCTCTTGAGCTCCAAACAATTTTGTCTTAAGCAGCAGTGGAAAAGGGACTATTTGAAGCCAATATAATATAGATGGATAAACATTAGAATAGTCTCTCTACTGCTGAATCTTCAAAAAACGAAAGGGTAAACAACAATTATCAATCAATCAATCAAAGTTTATTTGTAGAGCGCCTTTCATACACAGGGCAACACAAAGCGCTTCACAGTCCACATCACAAATCATCACATAAAACAAACACCAGAATCACAATTAAAACATTAAAATCACACAAAAGATTAAAACACAATTAAAACATTAAAATCACACAAAAGATTAAAACACAATTAAAACATTAAAATCACACAAAAGAATAAAACCATTAAAACTTTCAAAATTACACAAGAAATTTAAAAAATAAATAAATAAATCAATGACAACAGTGCATTAGAAATTGAGATAAAATCCTTCAGTTGTATGCACAGGCAAACAGAACAGTCTTTAACCTGGATTTGAACATTGACAGAGTAGACGCCTCCCTCACATTTTCAGGGAGATTGTTCCAGATCTTAGCTGCATGGATCTGAAACGCAGCCTCCCCATGTTTGGTTCTCACTCTGGGCACCAGCAGGAGTCCAGTCCCTGTGCTCCTCAGAGTCCGGGCTGGTTCATATGACACCAACATGTCACTAATGTATTTTGGTGCAAGGCCATGGAGAGACTTGTACACAAGCAGAGCTGTTTTAAAATCTATTCTCTGAGCCACAACTGAAAAACTGTTGAAATTATAGCTCTATTTTGAGTTTTCCCTGCCGGCGTTATCAATCATATTCTCACCTTGTGTTCTTGTAAACTAGTTAAATATGCAGTGAGTGCTGTTTGGGCCTGGCACGTCCATGTCTAATACGCTCATTATACAAGAGATTAAAACAAATCTGTATGTTATCCTACCACTATCAAGTGAACCTGCTGTACGCGCCACTCCTAATTCACTTTTAATCTTGATATGGGAGTTTGCTCAACAAGAGAATTTAGGCCAAAGTCGAGCTAAAATTAACCAAAGAGGGAAAACAGCCAAGCTCATTATACTGTCTTTATTACTTTAAGCAGGTGAGTTCTGAGCGAGTGAAGGAATTACAAAGCCTGTCTTAAGTTGCGCATATCATTTACATGGATTTAAGATGGCAGGCAGAGACAGGAGCAGATGAAAGGCCCCCAGCTGCTTTCTGTCACATGTTCGCCGCGTGATAACTACGTGTGAAGACGGCGCCAACAACTCGAGAGCGGAGAAGCGTGCGACCGTACAAACTGGACTTGACATTTTAGCGCCTCGTTTTGCAGTGTAATCTACAGTACAGCATAGCACCTATTTGATGTTTCGTCATCAAAGTGCAATTTCTCTGCATGTGTGACGGCTATGTTTGTCCGATGTCCATGTGGATTAATGCAGGATTGAAGTGGTTAGCTGTGCTTCTAGGCGAATGAATGCATTGTGATTGGCCGCGCATCATATTCGGGGCCAGTGGGGAAACGCAGTATAGTGATGGTTTGAGATTCAAGGACAATACTAAAAGTTTAAATAAATATGTGGCCTTAAAGGTATATAGGAGGATTTTCACATTTTTTGTTTTCTTCACTTTTTGAACAGAGCTCTATCACCAGAATGATTGATAATTGGGAGGACCAATAGTGTTGATGATCCACACGGAAGTAGAAAATCCTCCTATATACCTTTATCATAAATGCACTTTACTTTCATATACCTTAGTTAGGTATATGCAAAAGCTTGTATTTGTTCATTTTTACTAAAGTAAATTAACTAAATACATTATATTTTTTATTATTTTAGTTGTATTGAATATATAATTGGAAGCACATTGAGGTTTCAATAAAATGTAAGCTGAAAATAAAAATAAAAATCCATGATAATTAAATATATGGTAAATTTAGTAATAATACCTTTTTTGAGCATATACACTTTTTCTTGAAATTTGACCACTAGTACTGTTGCCACCTTGGAAAATCATTTATGCCGATGCAATTCAATTCAACAGCCCTAAATCAAGAAAGCTGTTTTCATGGAGGACAAAATTGTTGATTTTTCAACATAGATCAGAGAATCAAACAGTCCGAACACAGTAAATCCAATAATAACACACACTTATAGGGAGCTGGATGACCCATGTCCAGAAATGTTTATACATGTCTTTAAATATCCTGGCTGATCACTGTTCTTAGACCCTCCTGTATCGGCCGGAGAGACTGAGGACAGACATCTTCCTGTTCCTACCCTGAGTAAAAACATTTCACCATTTGCATATAACCTCTATCCTCCACCTCAGCCCGGCCCAATGAAACTGCTCAGATTTACTCTTTCTACGGCACGAGAAAATAATACAGGCTCTGTTTCATATGCTGCCATAATGGGGTTGTAAAAACAGAAAGGTTCATAATAGTTTTACTCACATCTTGTTTTGCACCAAGTAATATACTGGCCTGTAAAATTTGCCCGACATTTTCCTTCCCCTTCCAGCAATCTGTGTCAACAAAGAGCCGGGGATGGAGTGTTTGGGTATTTTTACCATCATACTTTATAGCTGCACACACATTTGGTGAAATGGGGCATGCTATAGTCAAATGTGGTTTCACAGGCTGCTTTGTTCCAGGCGATGTTGTGGCAGCCCCGTTTATCATGTCGTTTTCGCTCATACTTAAATATGCTGTGTGGCCCTTTGCGGCAAATGACACCAACAAAACAGCTCCATGGTCAAATGAACCAACAAACAATATAGGAAATACAAAAAGAACAGGCTAAAAGAAAATTGTGCCGTGGGTCGGAGAGCACAGCGTTTTTATGCAATGCTAGTATGAAAAGAACAAAACATAATTCAGAAAATTGTAATGTTTCAGCATCTGGTTGTATCATTTTATATGCAGTGTAATAGTAAAGGCTGCGATGGCTGAGTGGAAAGCAGTCTCGCTTCTCAGTACAAATGTCTTGGGTTCGAATCCCAGTTGGAAAAGAGTCTTTCTGAGTGGGGTTTGCATGTTTTCCCTGCGTCGCTGTACTACGTGGACCACTGCCCCTGACAGATGCACTTTAGAGGCATCAGGATGGGTCAAATACCGAGGACAAATGACCTCTTATTTTGAACCTAATACTGTAAATGACTTGTGTTTTCCAGCAAATGACACTGTGTACTGGACAGATATGGGCCTAAACCGCATCTCCAGGTCCAAACGAGATCAGACCTGGAGAGAAGACATCATCACCACAGGCATTAGCAGAGTGGAGGGCATCGCCGTGGACTGGATAGCTGGTTAGTATTAAAATAACAACTGAAAGCCTAGGCCGAAAATAAGTGGTGGAAATTATCAGTACCACTGTGCGTAAAATTGGCTAAAGTGCTCTTAATGACCGGAATTCCACAGTGCTCATTCAAATAAATAACTTGAATTACTTTTCAGGGAACCTTTACTGGACCGACCACGGGTTTAATCTGATTGAGATTTCTCGTTTGAATGGAGCCTATCGTTCAGTGGTTATTTCAGAAGGACTGGATCAGCCCAGAGCTATTGCCGTGCATCCACAGAAAGGGTAAGTCTTGTGTCCATATAGAAGTTTGACGTTCTCGTGATAAACCTGACAATGATAGAAAACGTACATCAATGGAACTTGCGTGGCTAGCTGAAATAGTTGATATTGTTCAAAAGTTCATTGATTTTTATGTTGGGAAGGGTGGCTCCATGTGAACAAATCATCTACAATGTTTGTTCTCTGCTCTGTAACCATTGCACGGTTTACAGTGCAACTCATTAAATATTTGATAAAAAAATGATAATAATAATAATTTATTTCTGTAATTTAACTTAAGGTATGAAACTGGAATATGATATAGACTCATTTGCAAATTGAAAAATGTCTTTGTCATCATATTTAAGACTATGGATTGTGAGATGTTTTTTTTTTATACTATTATATAGAAGATAAGACAATTTTTATGCAGGTCTATTTTACTTGAACATCACACAAACATTTAAGTTGCATGTGTGCAACTTAAAAAACATATATATTCTGGCATAATGTCATTTTTATATCATTCTATGTGTATTTATTTATTTGTTTTATTCATCCATGTCGTCATATTACGTACATCACATATAATCTTTACACTGGTGCAGCAAGCTACAGTGCCTTGCGAAAGTATTCGGCCCCGTTGAACCTTTCAACATTTCGCCACATTTCAGTCTTCAAACATAAAGATATAAAATTTTAATTTTTTGTCATGAATCAACAACAAGTGGGACACAATCGTGAAGTGGAACAACATTTATTGGATAATTTAAACTTTTAAAAAAAATAAAAAACTGAAAAGGTGGGCGTGCAATATTATTCGGCCCCTTTACTTTCAGTGCAGCAAACTCAGTCCAGAAGTTCAGTGAGCATCTTTGAATGATCCAATGTTGTCCTAAATGACTGATGATGATAAATAGAATGCACCTGTGTGTAATCAAGTCTCCGTATAAATGCACCTGCTCTTTGATAGTCTCAGGCAGGGCTGGACTGGCCATCGGGCGTACCGGGCAATGCCCGAAGGGCCGATGCCCATATTTGGGCCGGTCTGTCTGCCTCATACAAAAAACATGTTTGTGAAAAGTGTAAATCCGTTGAAAACTGTTCGAGGGGGCGTGCGTGTCCGCGGGGCACCTGCTGTATGTACTTGAACGGGATTCCACCACCTCAGCGGCCGCATCCAGCGGCTCTGAGCTGGACGCAGGAGCCGCTCACCGGGAACCGCTCACAACACAACACGGTGAGCGCGTAGCCGCAACGTGACCATGTACCCAAGACCATAAACGCGCACAGGGCCATGCATATCTTTTTGTAATTTGTGCACCCAATAACTGCACCGCTGCAGAAAACAGTCCACGTCTCCCCTCTCCTCTAAATTAAAGCTCCGGTACCTAAATTTTCCATTGCGTTAATGTTTGAGCCCAAAAGTAATATGTTGTGAACAGATTAAACAGATTTAGAGCCAGCTAATGGCTGACAATATGCATTTCAGAAATGTTTACCAATTCTCATCCCTGTAACAAACAATAGTATTGTCTGTGCCCACCTCCCTCACTCTGAGACATGGTTATTACTCTGTTTAATGTAGACTATTGCTCTTTATTTTATAGTTGAAACTGCAGACATCCTGATCCTCTACAGTATTTGCTTCCACATACTGTATAAACCAGGGGTCGGCAACCTTTAGTGCCCCTAAAGTGGCTCCTGGAGCCTTTTCAAAAATGTCTGATAGTGGAGTGTGAGGGCTATATTTTATTTCTAGTTTCAATGTGGTTTATGTAGGAGGAAAAACATTAACGTTTTTCAATGCTGCAAAAACTTGTATAAGTAATATTCAATTTTAGCATTTCTGTCAACGTAGTGCGTCATATCCTGTGACGCAGCCCGTGCCAGGCTGCAATGAAAACACACGTTTGATAATCATGAATGGTTTTTATGTGTTCGTAGCCTTTACTTTGTCATTTAGATAATAGGCTAATATAGCTAATGTAGCTAAGGTAGCTAAGGTTGCTAATGTAGCTAATACAGCTTCAGCCCCTGTTACCTTCATACAAGCCTTATACAACGCTGTTTTTAGTTTTTTGTCAAATATGGCTCCTTGAACCTTTTGAGTTGCCTGGGCCGCTAAAAAGGAAAAAATGCCCGGGCCGTTTTTTTGTCCCAGTCCAGCCCTGGTCTCAGGGTTCTGTTTAAAGCGCAGAGAGAACCATGAAGACAAAGGAACACACCAGGCAGGTCCGAGATACTGTTGTGGAGAAGTTTAAAGCCGGATTTGGATAAGAAAAGATTTCCCAAGCTTTAAACATCTCAAGGAGCACTGTGCAAGCAGTTATATTGAAATGAAAGGAGTATCAGACCACTGCAAATCTACCAAGACCCGGCAGTCTGCAGTTCATCCAGAGTGATCATGGGCCTCTTGGCTGCATCTCTGATCAGTCTTCTCCTTGTTTGAGATGAAAGTTTGGAGGGACGGCCGGGTCTTGGTAGATTTGCAGTGGTCTGATACTCCTTCCATTTCAATATAATTGCTTGCACAGTGCTCCTTGAGATGTTTAAAGCTTGGGCAATCTTTTTGTATCCAAATCCGGCTTTAAACTTCTCCACAACAGTATCTCGGACCTGCCTGGTGTGTTCCTTTGTCTTCATGGTTCTCTCTGCGCTTTAAACAGAACCCTGAGACTATCAAAGAGCAGGTGCATTTATACGGAGACTTGATTACACACAGGTGCATTCTATTTATCATCATCAGTCATTTAGGACAACATTGGATCATTCAAAGATCCTCACTGAACTTCTGGACTGAGTTTGCTGCACTGAATGTAAAGGGGCCGAATAATATTGCACGCCCCACTTTTCAGTTTTTTATTTGTTAAAAAAGTTAAAATTATCCAATACATTTTGTTCCACTTCACGATTGTGTCCCACTTGTTGTTGATTCATGACAAAAAATTAAAATTGTATATCTTTATGTTTGAAGCCTGAAATGTGGCGAAATGTTGAAAGGTTCAAGGGGGCCGAATACTTTCGCAAGGCACTGTATATCCCCTCTCTCTGCTCCTCCTGTTCCACAGATTATTCACACAATAATATGGGTTGAACAAGTAGCCTATAGATGTCTCCAATATTCTGCACTTCATTTACTCCTGGAAATTTTAATACAATGTCCTTCTTTCTTCATCAAATAACATACATTTGAGAGTCCATTGAAATGTATTGAAATGTGCATACTTCATAATACAATAGATGCATATTTATTTTATACATGCCTTGAACCAGAATGGCCTAATACCTGTCTCTACAGTGACATTTTTTCAAGGAAATATAATGGACATCTTATCTTTATGCATAAGAAAGACTTCAATGTCCATCACACTTGACTTGTCCAAGTGTTCCTCTCTCCAGGACTGTGTGCAAATAGACTGCTGTACTAAAGAAAGTTTACTGTAATTATTGTGGATGCATTTGCGAGCCTAACCTAACACCCTTCTCCCACTTTGCATTGATCATCAGTGTCTGTGTGATATTTTGCACTCTCGTGACTGATTTGTGATATTCTGAAAGTGCTTCATATATTCTTAATTTATAGCAGTACTTGGCGATCAGGTGTCACTACAGGTATCAGACCTGGTGTACACGTCTTGCACAGGTTTTCCAATGTGGTTTTACTGTAAATGGCAAATAAATTCTTGTATCTTGTTTCATTACTTTGAGTCTCACTGTTTATACACTTTGCAGAATGAATGTTGCCTATTGAGCCTATAGAGTCTCTAGGAGAAATAGAAAATTCATCAAACTATTTTAAATTTTAGACAGCCTCTTTCAGTATTTGGAAATGCAAATAAAAAACACTCTGTAATAACAAATCCATGCTTGGCTCTCTGCTGTGCTTTGCTTGGCAGGTATCTCTTCTGGAGCGAATGGGGCCAGAACCCTTGCATTGGCCGCTCACGATTGGACGGCTCGGATCAGGTGACCTTGGTTAACTCCGGGATCACATGGCCTAATGGAATCTCCATAGACTACGAGGTACAACATCCACGGCATCAAAATCCCTTTCCTCTCTCTCTCTCTCTCTTTCACACACACACACACACAACTTTCTGTGGGTGAGAAATGGCAAAGCCGAACGTCTAATATCCATTTTAAAATTACCTTCTAGGAAAATACATTATACTGGTGTGATGCCCGCACAGATAAGATAGAGAGGATCAACCTTGAAACGGGAGAGAGCCGTGAGATTGTCCTGTCAGCGGCCAACGTAGACCTGTTCTCCGTGGCGGTGTTTGGGCCCTACATCTACTGGTCTGACAGGTAATTTGTTATTTTCTTAAATTCTCACACACACATTCATTGAACCGCAACGCATGCAGTTTTAACCTGGTATTAAAACTCGCCCTGTAAGATATTAGGATCACTGAGTTGAAATTGTCAGGGTCAGCAGTGCATTGGTAATAGTCCATATATGATTTAAAAGAGTAGGGATGGCCTCCAGTCCTTGCTCGAAATATATGTTCGGGGGAAGAGGGGTTAAATTTGAAGGGTTTAGCTGACGACTTGAGGAAATGGGTGGAGTCTGCTGTGCTCCTGCTTGGTTGGAGTGAAATTCTGCAAACCTTTCTAAAACCGGTTTGACACCCCTGGCTATAGCGGTTTTCTGGGTATTGTCTGTAAGTGACGGTAGAATGACCAACTCTTGGGTTTTAACTGTTCTCCTTTCACAACTAAGCAACATTTCACTAAAGATGAAATTATACTGCTTCTCTTTATGCTAGAGTTTTTTTATTGTTATGCAACAGATTTGTATTTTAAATGTTTCTAGTATAGAGTTATTGTTCATTTATGTTGTGTGTTCCTCATTCCTACTGTTCTGTAACTGGTGATGCAACACTGAAATTTAACCACTGTGGGAAGAATAAATAACCTCTACGATCGTAATTTGGGATCCTGTAATGATAAATTAAAAACAACCAGGCGGCAAAGGTGTAAAACTGTTTCACTCTTAGTGAGTTTCAGAACTTTCTGACTTCTTCTGTACCTACATAGTGTATTTCCATTACTTTTTTTTCTACCATTAACTCCCAGGTCTTCCATCAGAAAAGAGCCAGTTGTAGCTACCATAGCAACATACTGTTTACATGCTACCAGTTAGCATAGCATTTGCTATAGCAATAGCAACTGCTATTTGCTGTATTTCAAGTTAATATTCACCAGTTCAAGCACTTGAACCTTATAAATCACTTACCTTGAAATAAATCTTGAATAAAACGAATGAAGAACTCACTAACTTGGACTTCAGTGGGAGTTTGAGAAGTTTCAGATTTCTGGGAGAGTCCTAGAGTTATTCACATTTAGTTTTGCTTTGCTGCTTCCAGGGCCCACTCTAACGGCTCCATCCGTCGTGGGCTGAAGTCCGACACCAGTGACGCGATGACAGTGAGGAGTGGACTCGGGGTCAATCTGAAGGATGTCACTATTTTCAACCGAGGCAGAGAGAAAGGTGAGGAAATCTCTCAAAAGTCTTTTCAAGTACTGCTGTCGTTTTTCTCCCCATGAGTCGAACTGAGTGGAACTTTTTGTGCAATTGTAAGAGAAAAAAACTATATATTTAGCAATTCAATTTTAATAGAAAGCATAAAGATTTAATTAATAAGTCTAAAGAGAACATTTTGACTAATTGATGTTTGATGTCATTATCGTCTCCAATGAAGAACTGCTGTTAGACTCATTTTAGTAAATTGTGGCTTTAAGATTTAACAAAAGAATACACCATCTCTTTAACCTTCTTTTTTGTTTTAAACTACTTTTTTTCTGAAAACATGTAGAATAGTCCTGCATAACACCCTCCCTGACCTCCACTCTTGCCCCCTCTCTCTGGAGCCAGGACTCCCCTGAAAAAAAAACTTTGAAATCTCAGTGGTCAATAAACCAAGCTCAATAAATAATTTCAGACACATTTTGCACAAAACAAATGGAAATCTTAACTTGAGTCTATCCAATGTACTTTTCTGTGAGTCAATAGTATCGCTTGACTTCAATAACATTTATGGACATTTATCATAATTTATGGACATTGGTCATTCGCCCCTTATGGACCGATGGTTCAATGTGATTGTATTATTATTGCATTTCTTGTACTGAACTGTTGATTCGCTGATCTGTGTTGGCGTCAATAAAACCAATAATTTTATGCTTTTGAAAACTCTTGTGTAATTTATCACCACCGTGCATGGACTGAATAATGACATGTGAAGCGTCTTTGAGTGTCCAAAAAGGCGCTATATAAAGCCGTTGCATTATTATTATTATTTTTTGCTTAAATAGGTGTCCCATGGTGATAAAAAAAAGTTTGTGTACCAATTTTAACCAAACCATTCCCCTGCACGTTCCAGGCACTAACCCGTGTGCGCGCAGTAACGGGGGATGCCAGCAGCTGTGTTTCCACCTGGGCAGCGGGCGTCGCACCTGCTCCTGTGCCCACGGGCGGCTGGCAGAGGACGGGTTTGCCTGCGAGCGTTACGAAGGCTTCCTGCTCTACTCCGAAAGAACCATCCTGAAGAGCATCCACCTGTCGGACGAGAGCGACCTGAACTCTCCCGTGCAGCCCTTTGAGAACCCAGCGCTGCTCAAGAACGTAATCGCACTGGCCTTCGACTACAGCCAGGAAATGAACGGAAATAACCGGATATTTTTCAGCGACATGCATTATGGGAATATACAAATGATCAACGACGATTGGACTGATCGCTCGGTTGTGGTGGATAGTAAGTGTCTTTTTCTCCTTGTATGCTGGAGTCATTGTTTGTTGCTTTGAAAATTATACGGTATGGAATCGGTGAGAGCACTAGTTGTACCCATCCATGTTCGTCGCCTCTGATTCCTATTTGGACATAAGGATTTTGACTATTCTGGTGTTTATATTTTGATCATAGATAGACATGTTGATAGACAGATGTTCTTAAATAGAAGAATTACAATTAATATGTCTTTATAAATCCTTATGTCCATAAACAACTAATCAATCCGGTGCCTTCTGTCTCCAAAATTGACTAGCAAGGGGCAGGGGCGAAACGGAACTCCTGATTGGCTCTTCGGTTGCTAGGCCATTGCCATATAGTAGTAGTAGTAGTAAGTAATCTTTATTTATATACCGCCTTTTCACTGCAGATCTGAGTCTCAAAGCGGTTTACAATTGTTAATTTTTTTGGGCATTTGTCTCTCACTCAACACAGAGATGGGAGCGGGGTCGCCAGTACAGGAGGCGCCTGTACTAATGCCAGAACTATTGGACATATTTTTAGTGGTAGGGGAAACCGGAGTACCCGGAGGAAACCTACGCAGACACGGGGAGAACATGCAAACTCCACTCAGAAAGACCCTGGTCCGACCGGGATTCGAACCCAGGACCTTCTTGCTGAGAGGCGAGAGTGCTATCCACTCAGCCACCGTGCCGCCATTTGACTCCAAATTTCCGCCCATGGATCCATGTTTGAGCTTGCCCTAACTGAGCGTCTTCTCACTGAGGGTGACGACAGCACTCGGTTAGACTACTTCTTGACTACGGGCAGTTCAGTGGCTGAGCGGATAGCACTCTCGCTTCTTAGCCAGAAGGCCCTGGATCGGAAAAGAGGGCCTTTCTGAGTGGAGTTGTGAGTCTCCCTTTATCTGCGTAGATTACCTTCAGGTGCTACGGTTTCTTCTATGACTAAAAACAATAGGTCTGGCACGCACATTTGTCTCTCACTCCTGCTCTCTGTGTGGAGTTAGAATCAAATACCCACGCTTGTGAACTCTTTGGTCTGTGAAAGGTGCTATATAAATAAAGATTACTTACTTCTGCAGTGTAATATAGCACAGGGCAAGGTGGTGAGAATATGCATTATTATAGCAATTAAAGTTACTGACAACTGTTAGGACAAGCTGCTGTGGCAAACTATTTATTTACTACTCATTACAACCATGCCACAACAAAACATGCAATTATATGAAACAATGAAATGAGCCAGAGCTGAAGATAGCGGGGTGATGAGACTCAGTGTGGGGGCTCCGTCACGGAGTTGATCCCAGTTGATTGGGGACCCCCACTTTCTAGGAAAATGAAGGTTGAAAATAATATGTAAGAGAGCTGTGTGAGACTGATGCATTAGACAGGGTTCTGGCTTTGTGGAGTTAGTAGTGACTTTAGTTAATGATTTATTATGTTTTTGTTGTTTTTTTTTTTTTTCAAGAAATAGACTGCTTCTCTTCATCCACTGTTTTTAACGTTTATTTTTTTTGTTTAAAGGTTTATAAGAGGATTTTCCCAAATTTTAGGAAAGAACTGCTCTCTCCACTTTTTGATCAAAACTCTCTGTTCGTATTTGACGAGCAGGTATCACCAGAAGGATTGACAATTGAGAGGACCAATAGTCTTATTAATCCACGTGGAAGTAGAACATCCTACATACCTTTAAGCTGTTAGCGCTGTTGTTTCTTTTTTTGGTTGTTTTTTTTTGTGTGAGCTGTGTGTTTATTTGTCTGATTTGGTGAGTCCCGTCACACCCCACAGCGCCACACTTTGGCCTGGCATGTCTATTACACTGTTCTCGTTGAATTGGATTTGTTTACCAGACTTGAGTGGACAGCTATAAATATTACATACTGTTCCTCCTGTATGTAATACAGGCAACACAGGACCCCAGTATTTGCCCAAAATTGGTTTTCATTCATTCATTCATTTTCAACCCCTTTATTAATCTATTCCTGCGTTGCGGGAGTGGCAATGAGAGCTGCCACCCAATGCTCATAGCACCATTCACTCACTTATCCTCCTGCAGGTGGTGGCTGCTCCGTTACCAATGAGATAGCCTTGGTCTTTCAGCGGGGGCTTCCGGCAATGTGGGGTTAAGTGTCTTGCCCAAGGACACAATGACAGACATGAGAGGGTGAAGTTGGAGTAGGCATGCGCCTCCTGTACTGGCAACCCGGCTCCCATCTCTGTGTGGAGTGAGAGACAAATGCCAAAAAATTAACAATTGTAAACCGCTTTGAGACTCAGATCTGCAGTGAAAAGGCGGTATATAAATAAAAACTTACTTACTAACTTACTTACTCTTGTGGGGGGTCGAATCTACGACCTTCAGGCTTGAAGGCCAATGCTCTACCAACTGAGCCACGGTCGCCAAAATTGGTTTTGTTTCACATTATTCAGCATACTTTATTCACCCCTATAGTTCTCTCTAAATTGAATATACGTTTTATTAGCCACTGTTTTTCCCTTACCAGTCCCACTGCCGGACCAGAATGTGAATCTGAATCAGGGGCTGTGTCCAAAACGCTAGGCATCAGGCCGCGTAGGGTGGATATGTAGGCATCGTGACGTCACTTCCTCAAGCGACGGCTATTGCAGGGGTGTCCAAAACCACTTGGCGAGCTCGCCAAGCGTAGGCATCATGACTTCGTCTCTATGGAAACGGCCACTTTTGGAGCAGATATGAAGGATGCATCTGATGTATGCTTCGCTGCCTTCTTTTTGCCAAGTCACGGCCGCGCATGCGCAGAACTCCGTTCGGCATTAACATGTAAACAACAGCTCGGAGCTGCTGGAGCTAACATTATGGTAAGCACTGCTATACTTTACTGTGAAGTTATGTCTATAGTAAGTACTGCTATACTTTACTGTTGAGTTATGAACACGACTGTTATGATAAAACACAGACATAAATTAGATCTGCCACAGATGTGTGTATTTAACCTTGTTATCTGCTGTAAATAAGCTCAGTCCCGAAAAGCTAATGCTACGAGGCTAGTTCATTCAGATTCGGTTTTTGAACAAGAAAAATCATGTTGTGTTTTATCTTTTAGGGAGAAACAAACCCACTGATTAAATATTAAAGCTACACTGAGGAAAGTCACGTTTTCATGGAAAATCACTCTGCAGCACAGCAGCTATAGTATGCTAACACATAAAATAGATTGTGCATATCGTTTTTAATCCCACACTGAGACTGGGAAAACTGTATATATTAGACATATGAAATTATAGAATAGGCCAAGAATAATTATAAAGCCCTTTTCATACAATAGTCTAATAAATAGTAAACACACATTATACAGAGGTTTTGTTTGTCATTAAGACATTTGCAGAGGACTAAGTCCCACTTCCACAAACACAGGTTTAAAGTGGTTAGCCATGCTCATAACTTGATTATTTGTGTATATTTCTATCATATCATTCTTCTGTTTCCCCTGCTGTGAAACTTGTATCTCTAATATTAAATACTGTAAGGATTTCTGTATTTTATTTTTAACCAGTTTTTTGCAAAGCCCCAAATAAATAGTATTAATTGAATATGAAGTGTAAAAAGAATCCTAAATGTGGGCTGTGTTTTAATGCATGATGTTTGTGTTCTTCTTTTTCAGAGACTTGTGGTGAAATTAAGGTCATAATTTCTCCAGCTTCACCTCCATCACCTCCTGCTTCACCTCCATCACCTCCTGCTTCACCTCCATCACCTCATCACCACATTATGAACTACAACAAACTTGTATATAATATTTTCCTTTAATCAGCAATCATGAATAGTTAGAACAGTGGGCTCTGCATCAAGACATGTAGCAGAAGGAGCAGCAGCAGCAGCAACAGGAGGAGCAACAGGAGGAGTAACAGGAGGAGTAACAGCTGCAGCAGAAGGAGCAACAGGAGGAGTAACAGCTGCAGCAGAAGGAGCAACAGGAGGAGTAACAGCAGCAGCAGAAGGAGCACCAGCAGGGCAACAGGAGGAGTACACAGCAGCAGCAGAAGGAGCAACAGGAGGAGTAACAGCTGCAGCAGAGGAGCACAGGAGGTAGCGAAAGAAGAAGGAGCAACAGGAGGAGTAACAGCAGCAGCAGAAGGAGCAACAGGAGGAGTAACAGCTGCAGCAGAAGGAGCAACAGGAGGAGTAACAGCTGCAGCAGAAGGAGCAACAGGAGGAGTAACAGCTGCAGCAGAAGGAGCAACAGGAGGAGTAACAGCAGCAGCAGAGGGAGCAACAGGAGGAGTAACAGCAGCAGCAGAAGGAGCAACAGGAGGAGTAACAGCAGCAGCAGCAGTAACAGCAGCAGCAGCAGCAGCAGCAGGAGTAACAGGAGCAACAGCAGCAGGAGCAGCAGCAGGAGCAGCAGCAGCAGGAGCAGCAGCAGGAGCAGCAGCAGCAGAGTCCTGGGCGTCTGCCTCTGACACAGGTCTCATCGACAGCACTTCAGAGGAACCTGGAAATAAAGAAAACTAAAATCAAACTTGTTGGTTTTATTATGATTTTGTTGTTTGTGTGAAATGTAAAGAGTCATCAAAGTGAGGTATTATTTACACAACTACATATTTGTCAGCAGTACTTATACTTATACTTATAATTGAATACATTAAACTCAAATGTGATTAGTAACGGTCTGTTAGCTTTTCAAGAGATATAAAAGTGAATAAGAGCAGTGTCAAACATCTGTGTTCAACTCCATTTTACAGATGTCTGTTAATGTTTCCATGTGTCAGTTATTATTATAGATCCATGGATGTGTCAGTTATTATTATAGATCCATGGATGTGTCAGTTATTATTATAGATCCATGGATGTGTCAGTTATTATTATAGATCCATGGATGTGTCAGTTATTATTATAGATCCATGGATGTGTCAGTTATTATTATAGATCCATGGATGTGTCAGTTATTATTATAGATCCATGGATGTGTCAGTTATTATTATAGATCCATGGATGTGTCAGTTATTATTATAGATCCATGGATGTTCAGTTATTATTATAGATCCATGGATTTTCCAGTTATTATTATAGATAAATGGATGTGTCAGTTATTATTATAGATAAATGGATGTTCCAGTTATTATTATAGATAAATGGATGTTCCAGTTATTATTATAGATAAATGGATGTTTCTCTCTCATCAGCAAACACACGTTAATACATTTAGGTCTGATAAAATTACTTTTAAGTGATGCACAAACGAGGGCCATAGCAAATATATAATCCATATCTAATAATCATTTATTGCATATATGTGCATTGTTTACATAAAATATAACTTTGTAAAAACTAATGATTACTGCCAATACAATTGTTATAACAGAGAAAGTGTAACAACAAAAGCATCCTCTGTTTTTTCAGAATACGATTGTAAACATCCAGGGGGCTCTCATTACCTGAACCCGTGTTTAGACAGCCTGTTCTGGGCTTCAGCACTGCAGCTAACTGGGCTGTTAGCTTATAGCACCGGAGCTTCAGGCTGGTGGAGGTAAAGTCCGAAAATTTTCGAATTTATCTCCAAACAGACTTCTGATATGACAATAGAGGGGGATATTTCTCGCCTCAAATGATATTAGAATTAACTTTTATGTCCTAATTAAAGCGTATTTAGAACTTTTTACCGTCCATCATGGCCGCCGTGTCCTTCCGCTCCGCTCTGAGTTGTGTAGTCACGTGACGAAGGCAGAAGGCAGCTGCTGTCCAAATCCACATCACGTCTCGCCTCCTACCTCGCCTGTGGCTACGCGGCCTTCCCTCGATGCCTACGTATCCACCCTACGCGGCCCGATGCCTACCGTTTTGGACACAGCCATAGACTACATTTACACAGTTAAATGACTCGTGTCTGTGGCTGTTTCAGTCAAAAACAAGCTCAGTATTGTATCCATTGTATAGTTGTAATTTAGCAGCACTTTGATAAAGAACCTAATCTCTCCATTGTCCTGTATAAATGGGCTTGGATTACATGTGCATATTGCTTTTGCTTCACTATCCGGCCTTTTTGCTGACAAATAAGCCGCTGTCACTGTTTTGAACAATGCCGACGCTATTACTTGAACTGGTTTTAATCACACAAGACTTTTCAGTTTACATTAAAATCATTACATCATCTGTTATTTTGAGTTTGCATCTCAAATAACTCTCTGTTTTTTTTATGTCAGTGTGGTTCATTTGTCTCTTTGAAGGCTCTTTATGCTGAGATGGATACTCACAATGTTATCTATTTATCCTGGAGACATGTTTGGGAGTAATTTGCCTTGAGGTTTTCCATTATGTCTCTTTCCCATTATGTTTGTGTAATTTTGTTATTCTAAATAAGACATTACTACATGAGAGTGCATAGAGTCACATGTCCTTGCTGGGATGTGGGCAACCTTGCATTTGAGTGTTGTTTAATTCATGTTTGTACCTATTTTTGAGCAATGTATCAGTTTTAACTAGCATTTCAATCAAATAATAAGAATGAATTAGAAAATATGAAAAAGTAGATAATGATTGTGATAATTGATTTAAGCAAATTCCAGACCTGAACCAATTGCATAATAGATGGATAATTGATCACCATTTGTCTATATTTTTTTGTTTTGTTTCTATCCAATCACAATTTTTATCCAATCACTATTTTTTTTAAAACAAAAATCTGTTTAAACTTGTATGTAAAGAAAACTTGATTGTCTTGAGAGGCAACTAATACATAATAATAATAATAGTAATCATTATTATTATTAATATTATTATTATTTTTATTTATTTATTATTAATATTATCATTATTATTATTATTTTCTAATCTTAATTTATTTCAAAACATTTTAATCATCACCAAACTATCAAAATGTATTAATATAGAAATGTACTAGTCTGTTGTATTGATATGTGAAAATATGGATTGGACAGGTTTGAAATGCTGTTCAAGCCAAACATACTTCTTTAACATCATCATTTCTCTTTTAAAATCTACAAATTACATGTTTTGCATTTTATAAACAAATAACTTTAGATTTCCAAAGACAGTTACTTCAATACAGTTTAAACCATAATTTACTCTTGTCATATTCTGGTGACTTTGGTCGATTTTTCACTCCTCTCCATCTGTACGTCGTTGCTTTGCAGCTCTGGGAGATTTTCACATTATTTATCACCATCTCTAAATGAGCACGTCGTGTTGTGAGGAACCATCTGTTGGGATGTACACTCCTCAAATGTCCTTCACACCTAAAGCGCGCGCTAAATGCTAAATCAGCGTGGATGGAGGAATTAATTTGGGAGCCATTAACATTTTGACATGTGTGTGGGATTTCCAAAGCATTCGGGTCTATTTATAGATGTCTCTTGATGAGAACTCAAGAAGGTATATTTAAGAATTACAAAGCCACACTGAACTGGGAATTTCTGGGTGGCGTTTGCATGTGTATCCCTGTGTCTGGGTGTGTTTCCTCCAGGTGCTACGGTTTCCCACATAGTGCTCAAAACATTCAACCTCCAACCATAGGTAAACATTCTCTAGCATCAACAACTGGAGATGCGCTCATGCGAAATCGGCTCCTGACCGGTTCCCCCTGTAGCATAGTTTGCCTTCTTATTCTAGAAATCTATTTTGGTTGATGAGCGGCTTCCAATAAACCTTTATTTTAAAGAATACATTTTTTGAAAGAAATGTTGACAATGTCCAGATGTTCTCAAAGATCAGTGCTTGATAGTGATTGGACCTGATATAGTCATTTCTTGGGCAACACTAGACTTGTTTTTGAATCGTCACCTTCATGAGACAATTAAATAGACTTTACTCAACAAAGAGGATTTTGAACTTTGTGACAATTTTTCTTTCGTGTGGATAGGTCCAAGAATTACAGAGAAAGTAGTTGAAATTTCAAAGAGCATGAATCTGCATAAATCTAAATTTTGACAGTTACTATAGATGTCTGCAAATGACCCGTGAAAACAAAGCAGAAAATGAAAATATACTACAAAAATGTTTCATTTATTTATTGAGTTGGGACAATGCACATTCACTTACATAGATGCCTTAAGCATCAGTGTAAATGCGCCGGACTTAGATGGATGCTACGGTACTCAACAACTATCGTCCCATCTCAAATCTGCCATTTATGGGGAAAGTCCTTGAAAAAGTTGTCTACCAACAGCTAAATAGATGTCTTATAATCAACAACTCATTTGATATGTTTCAGTCCGGCTTTAGACCCCACCACAGCACTGAGACTGCTCTCGTCAAGGTAACAAACGATATCCGGCGAAACACTGACGCAGGCAAAGTCTCAATCCTAATCCTGTTAGATCTGAGTGCTGCCTTTGACACTGTCGACCATGAGATCCTCTTGCAGAGAATAGAGGACTGGGTTGGCGTTGCTGGCATCGCTCTAAGTTGGTTTAGGTCTTACCTTTAGGACAGGAAGTACTTTGTGGAGATTGGAAACTGTGTCTCAGATCATATGGCCCTGACCTGTGGAGTACCACAGGGGTCGATCCTGGGACCTCTTCTGTTCAATCTCTACATGCTGCCGTTAGGTCAGTTAATACACAGAAACGAAGTGTCCTATCACAACTATGCAGACAACACTCAGATCTATGTCTCACTGACTGCAGGAGAACATGGACCAGTGGACTCACTTCTTCACTGTATCCAACAGATCAGTGAGTGGATGCAAAACAACTTCCTTCAGCTAAATGCAAACAAAACCGAAATGATTGTTTTTGGTCCCCAGAAACAAAGAGAGAGCGTCACCTGTCACCTCCAGTCTCTCTCCCTGAAACCTTCAAACAAGGTCAGAAATCTAGGGGTAATACTGGACTCAGACTTAAATTTTAATAGCCACATCAAATCAGTAACATCAGCAGCTTTTTACCATCTAAAAAACATTGCCAGGATCAAAAACATAGTGTCTAAAGCAGACTTGGAGATTCTTATCCATGCATTTGTCTCCAGTAGGTTGGACTACTGCAATGGCCTGCTCACAGGTCTGTCCAAACAGGCTGTAAAACAGCTGCAGTACATTCAAAATGCAGCAGCTCAAGTCCTGACTAGAACCAGGAAGTACGATCACATTAGTCCAGTCCTCAGGTCTCCGCACTGGCTTCCTGTGGCTCAGAGAATAGACTTTAAAACAGCTTTGCTTGTGTACAAGTCTCTCCATGGCCTCGCACCAAAATATATTAGTGACATGTTAGTACCATACGAACCAGCCCGGACTCTGAGGAGCACAGGGACTGGACTCCTGTTAGTGCCCAGAGTCAGAACTAAACATGGGGAGGCTGCTTTTCAGCATGCTGCTAAAATCTGGAACAATCTTCCTGTAGATGTGAGACAGGCCTCCTCTCTGACAATGTTTAAAACCAGGTTAAAAACAGTTCTGTTTAGCTGTGCATACAACTGGGGGATTTTATCTTTTTATCTTTCTTTTTAATGTTCTGTGATTATTTATGATTTTGATGCTATCTTGTTCAGCACTTTGAGTTGCCTTGTGTATGAATTGTGCTATACAAATAAACTTGCCTTGCCTTGCCTTAGCATTCTGCTACATTTCAGTTGTAGTCCCAAGGCAGGTTCCAAGAAAACAGACACAAAATAAATTAAACCCTTGCACAACAGATCACACATGAATAAATACAAAATAGACACCGACACGATGAAACAGGCAGTTTTAACTCAGTTAGAGAACAAGAAACCAAAAAAAAACAAGCGTCAGATTGAGAACTGTACTTAAACTATATAGGTAAATGACTCATTTGTTTTTAACCAATATTCAAAGAATGTTTTTTTTTTTAAGGGTGTAGTTTTGATGTGATGGTATCTGTTCTAGGCCTGCATTCCTCTGACAGAGAAATATGAATTATAAGTTTAGTTTTCCCTCCTGGTTCTCTGGCCTCATTATTATTACTCCACTACACAACAGAGAATTATAGGCATTTTTTTATTTTCTGAGAGGTGAAACTGCTAACTAAATATTTCTAAATATTTAAATCCCATGTTGTCCATTTATTAACACATGACTTTAATATCACTGCAACACTCCAGGTTCATGCCTTTTTTCAATTTACAGCCTATTATTTTGCACTGCTCTCACTGAGGTAGGTTTTTTATAGTATTTGAGATGGAGGGAAATCCGCCAACTCCGGCCGCACCGAAGAGTTATGGCCCGCAAGTCACAAACTCTGATTATGTAAATGGGAGGAGGAACAAAACACAGCCAAGATGCTTATCAAAGCGTTGACACCAAGTTTTTTGTATAATGGGAACTGTATTTTTGCTTTTTTCATAAATTAATGTTGTTTTTCACATCGATCTGACACCCATTACCGAGCCTAAAATCATTTACCATGTGCCCTCGGAGTGTGCTCTGAATGGAAATGAACTTGGATTATTTCGACAAGCTTTTGTTGATCGCATGACAGTTTTGTTTTTGACTAAATTCTACAGACAAGCATAGGGCTGGGCGATTAATCGATTTTAATCATTAATTCGAGTTTTACGTTTAGGGCGATTTCTTGTTTTAAAAATTCGATTTTTATTTTCTCCAGCGCAGAACTACAGCGCTAACGCGCTAACCGCGGGTCTATGGTGTTGAGCAGTCATTTTGAAGCTAACCTAATGCTAACAGTCTCCCTCTGGCCTGATGCTCGCTCTCACAGTTGGTGCTGTTGCAATAACAGTTCAAACGTTCAAGAATCAGACTTTATTTAAATCGCCAAAACACACACACGCACGCACGCAGGCTCCGGTCGCTATGTTCGTACGCCATGTTCGTACGCCACATCTTTCACGCTCTCTCACGCTCGTTATTCCAAAGCGCACTCCCGTGTCCGTGGCGCGCACACACTCGTGTCCCACTGAGCCGCTGCACTTTGGGGAAAGACACGTCTCACACATTGCTCTCATTGCTCTGATACAAACAACGTGTTCCCCGCTGTCTGTTAGCTACAGTAGCTGCTACAGTAGCTGTTAGCTACAGTAGCTGCTACAGTAGCTGTTAGCTACAGTAGCTGTTAGCTACAGTAGCTGTTAGCTACAGTAGCAGCTACAGTAGCTGCTACAGTAGCTGTTAGCTACAGTAGCTGTTAGCTACAGTAGCTGTTAGCTACAGTAGCTGTTAGCTACAGTAGCTGCTACAGTAGCTGCTACAGTAGCTGCTACAGTAGCTGTTAGCTACAGCATCAGAATGTAAACAGGAAGCTCGCACAATGCGGGAGTCACTGAAGTTAGTATTAGCGCCACCAGCTGGACAGAGCGTTGTACTACAGCACAGTTACTCAGGCACAGTTGAAAGAACAAGCATGAAAACCCGAGGAGGCTTTTGGAAAAGACTGTCTGTTACAACATTTCTATTTTGAGTAATCAGTTTTAAAAATGTGATATTTCATGTAAATAATGCATACTGTGTTTAATAGGATTGATATATTTGCGATGGGCCTTGTTTGTGTGATTTAAGTTATTTTGAAGGTGCATAGTGTCATTGTAAGTGAAGTTATTATAAAACTGTTAAGCTACATTTTCACTGTTTACAATGGCAGAGCCATCTCGTTTACAAGCATGTTTTAAGGCTTAATTCCTGTTACACTTATGCTCCATGGGGATTTAGATTAAACTGCATAAAGGAAAATCTATTTCTTTGTCAGTTGTAGTTTGTTTTTAAATAGAAAAAGATAAATCGATTAAAATCGAAAATCGGATTTGGTGTGAAAAAATCGGAGATTTTTTTTTTTTGCCATATCGCCCAGCCCTAGACAAGCATTTGAATACTTCACATATTGTGGCCTGATTTGAGTAGCCTACGAACTGTTGTTTTTCATGCTTTGTGGAAAGACAAGGGAATGCAAGTTTATTTGTATGGCACAGTTCGTACACATGGCAACTTAAAGTGCTTAACAAAATAAGAAAAAAAACTTTAAAAATTATAAATAATCAAAGTACATCAAAATATGGAAGATTCAATTCTGCTGTTGTACGCTCAGATAATCATGACTGCGTTCTTTGTCTGAGTGTCACATTTTCAGAGGGACTGTTCCAGATTTTAGCGGTCTAAAATTTAAACGCTCCCTCCCCATGTTGAGTTCTGACTCTGGGCACCAGCAGGAGGCCAGTCCCTGTGCTCCTCAGAGTCCCAGCAGGAGGCCAGTCCCTGTGGATCAAAGTTGGATTGTATTTTATTTTGGTTGATTAATTTAAAGTTTTTTAATAACAAATATTACATTCACTGACTGTATTACTACGAAAAATACATATTGCATGCTGATTTCAAACTTACAATAAAAAATTCCCATAATAAATGATTCATATGTTTGATATCCTCCCAGTTGCACGAGCTGATAACCGATACTTGCACGGGCACAAACATGACAATTTTAATTATAGAGCTCAGAAGGCCAAGACAAATATATTTCTTCCTTCTCTCTTTTTTTTTCTCCAGTTGTGTATGTTGTTTTTGTTATTTTTCCGAACAAAAAGCAAGTGGCTTTGCCTGAGCAGACACACATATGAGTCTGTGTTTTATTCAGGTAATCCTCCTCAGCGCAAACAAAAGCAATTCTCCGAGCGCTTGATAAACTGATCCTTATCTGTTCAAGGCCCAGTGGCTTCATAGACTCAGACGTTATGAAGTTTATATCAAAGGAAATCAGATTACGTTTACAATGGTCCCAAACTTCTGTCGACATGGATGGGAGAAAATGAAATCTTTTGACTTGGTTCTATGTTTGGTAGCCTTGTTGTTTTTACGTTTGATAGTGTGCATTGAACTAATAAATGTATTGTCAAGATTAGAAACATTTCTCTTATTAAATCCTCAATCGAACTTTAAATTCACACGTGACAACTTCTAATATATATTAGAAATGCATTAGGACTCAAATGTACCCCATCTAGTCTTTGAAGTCATTGAGATGCACATTTCATTCCTTCATTTTAAAAGTATCAAAACTTGTTCAAAGATTGTGAAAAGAAGTACAGTATATAAATATTTGTGGTCAAAGTTTTCCTCTGTATGCACTGTATTATTGGTATTATGCCACAATCCAGTATGAAGATACCAACGCTTTTTTCTGCTCAAATTAGTAAATAGTACTTTTAGTTTTGAATAATATTAGGTTTATGTTTGACAACCCTTTCAGAACTAACCCTAACCCTGCATATCTGTGTCTTTAGAGAAAATCTTTGTTGTGCTGGTTTGGAAATAAATAAATCAACCAATCCGAGTTCAGATCTTGTGTGCATTCTCAGTGGTTTTCAATGATTTGGGCATTTTCTCCTAAACTACAGCAAGCTGCCTTTGATCTCTGTTGATCCTAAAGTTGATTTGAAAAGAAAAGTGCTTAAGCTCTTTGGCATGGTGTGATTGTGTGTATTTGTGCATGGTGTTTGGTCCTGAGACCTGTCTTTGTGTGGCAGATGTGGGCTCCGTGGAGGGCTTGGCGTACCACCGCGGCTGGGACACTCTGTACTGGAGCAGCTCCACGTCCTCCTCCATCAGCCGCCACACTGTGGACCAGACCCGAGTGAGCGGCTTCTACAGAGAGGCTGTGATCACGCTGTCGGAAGAGGACCATCCGCACACTCTGGCCCTGCATGAGTGCCACAGGTCAGAGAAGCTGTCATCACAACACATTTACAATCCTTATATTCCGACACACCGGGAAAATAAAACAGCAGAATCAAAGGGTTTGGCGTGTATTTTCAATTTGCCGTGGTGTTGTTAGCGGCTCACAGTCGCTGGAGGTGAGAACCACTGTCCAGAGCGGCCTTAGCCCCCCAGAATGCTGCGGCCACGGAGGATGCGGACAAGTTTAAATTTATAGCAAACAACAGCAAGTGTCCCGCGGTCACACGTGTGATCTTTTAAAACTTGAATTCCCAGGAACCTTCTCTGTTGTCATCTGTGTCTGTGGCATTCTGAGTGATATTATGGAATACATGGGCGGGTCATTCAAACATGCGTGAAACGTGTTCATTTTTTTTCTTAATATATCTATATATATTGTATATACAGTGGGGCAAAAAAGTATTTAGTCAGCCACCGATTTTGCAAGTTCTCCCACTTAAAATAATGACAGAGGTCTGTAATTTTCATCATAGGTACATTTCAACTGTGAGAGACAGAATGTGAAAAGAAAATCCAGGAATTCACATTGTAGGATCTGGCTCTCACAGACCTGTAACTTCTAAGCTCTTCTGTCCTCCACCTGTTACCTGTATTAATGGCACCTGTTTGAACTCGTTATCTGTATAAAAGACACCTGTCCACAACCTCAAACAGTCAGACTCCAAACTCCAATATGGCCAAGACCAAAGAGCTGTCGAAGGACACCAGGAAAAGAATTGTAGACCTGCACCAGACTGGGAAGAGTGAATCTACAATAGCCAAGCAGCTTGGTGTGAACAAATCAACTGTGGGAGCATTTATCAGAAAATGGAAGACATACAAGACCACTGATAATCTCCCTCGATCGCAAGATCTCATCCCGTGGGGTCAAAATGATCATGAGAACGGTGATAAAAAATCCCAGAACCACACGAGGGGACGTGGTGAATGACTTGCAGAGAGCTGGGACCAAAGTAACAAAGGTTACCATCAGTAACACACCATCAGTAACATCAGTAACACACTACGACGACAGGGAATCAAATCCTGCAGTGCCAGACGTGTCCCCCTGCGGAAGCCAGTGCATGTCCAGGTCCGTCTGAAGTTTGCCAGAGAGCACGTGGATGATACAGCAGAGGATTGGGAGAATGTCATGTGGTCAGATGAAACCAAAGTAGAGCTGTTTGGTATAAACTCAACTCGTCGTGTTTGGATACTGAGTTGCATCCCAAGAACACCATACCTACTGTGAAGCATGGGGGTGGAAACATCATGCGTTGGGGTTGTTTTTCTGCTAAGGGGACAGGACGACTGATCCGTGTTAAGGAAAGAATGAATGGGGCCATGTATCGTGAGATTTTGAGCCAAAACCTCCTTCCATCAGTGAGAGCTTTGAAGATGAAACGTGGCTGGGTCTTCCAGCATGACAATGATCCCAAACACACCGCCCGGGCAACGAAGGAGTGGCTCCGTAAGAAGCATTTGAAAGTCCTGGAGTGGCCTCGCCAGTCTCCAGACCTCAACTCCATTGAAAATCTGTGGAGCGAGTTGAAAGTCCGTGTTCACTGCTCTCGAGAAGATCTGCATGGAGGAATGGGCTAAAATACCAGCTACTGTGTGTGCAAACCTGGTAAAGACTTATAGTAATCGTTTGACCTCTGTTATTGTCAACAAGGGTAATATCACAAAGTTTTGAGTTGAATTTTTGTTATTGACCAAATACTTATTTTCCACCATAATTTACAAATACATTCTCTAGAAATCCTACAATGTGAATTCCTGGATTTTTTCACATTCTGTCTCTCACAGTTGAAGTGTACATGATAAAAATTACAGACCTCTGTCTTTATTTTAAGTTGGAGAACTTGCATAATCGGTGGATGACTACTTTTTTGCCCCACTGTATTGTTATGTAAATTGATTACATTCTCTCCTTGTTTTATGTTCTTTCTAAAAAAGCCGATCTCAAGATGTGACAAAGACAAAGACAAATTGCATTTTCAAGATGAAAAAAAGGAAGATTTCGGGAAAAAAATGATCAAATGTTTATGAGCCAAACCAAAACTAAATGAAAACCTGTACCAAAAACCAGGATCTATCTATATACTTTGTAAATGTTCCCATCCTTATTATCCTCAAACAACAAAATCATTTATTGTAAGCACTTTTCTTTTCGATTGTCGCTAACTTTTGAGTGTCGTACTTTGACTTTCTTTTTATTGAACGAAAGTAATAACAATATCAAATGGTATTCATGTCTCGGCCTGTTGTCACAGTAATTTGATTTGTAGACACAAATCGCACATGTAAATGAGTAATCTGTTTTGGTAAGCCTTATTAACACCAGATTAGAGTCAAAGCAAACAGTCAATTTCACCGCCTCAGGTTTTTTCATTTTCATTTCAAACGGCCTTTGAGAAAAAAACGTGAGTCCACTTTTCCTGAACCTCCCAATCAGTATTCGAGCTAAATCACCCTCACACCTGCATAATTATGATCATAGCAAATTACCAAAAATCTAAAAAGAGCTTGTTCCTCATGTCGCGAAAGCTAAATTCATTTCCTGCACTGAACTATATTGTGGCTCGTCCATTTGGCACCACATCCATCCCACTTCCGCAGCAGTCTCTTAATTAGAACTCAAACCACATTGATTAATTAGCAGTCCCTGGTTGTGACTTCTGACCAAAAACCTTATTATCCCACTGGACTGGACTTCATTATGGAGGGGAGAGTGAGAAGCGAGCACAGAAGAAAAGGGATGCGTATCATGCTATGTTGAGGGACAAGTTCAAACACTGCACAGTTGTTTGTTATTGTTGTACATTTTCACATACAAAGTTAAGTTGGACAAACACTGCCACGAAATGAAGATTAATTCAATTCAGTCTATTCTTGTATAGCCTTAAATCACAACAGTAGGGGGACTTGACAAAACCGTTAAAATCGCCAACACAGATCAGAGAATCGAACAGTTCAAATACAATAAATGTAATTATAAAACATATAAAAACACAGAACCATTGATAAAGCCTGGCTTTAGTAAACTGTAAACTCAATTAACATTTACCTAAATGTGCTTCTGGGTTTGATCCCTGTTGCTGCAGTTACCTCGGTTGAATTCCCTTCTACCATTCAGCGGTGTCCAGTCCAGGTCCAGTCCAGTTTGTTTATAAATAATTTTTTTTATAAATTGCCTATTTACAGCAAAAAAATAAAATTAATTCAAAATCAATTAAAAGCCAATGAGAACAAGTCAGTCTTAAGACGAGACTCACAAACAAGACGTGAACAGATAGTCCAACACACAGGGGCAGCTCATAATTTAGAACCAACAACCGAAAAAGCCCAATCTCCTCTGAGTTTCAGTTTAGTCGGAGGAACCCAGAGCAGAGTCTGATCTGCCGACCCGAGCTGTAAATTATACAAAATACAGATTACAAAAGTTATTAAAGTATTACCAAAACATTACTATAAAATGTATCCATAAAAAAGCAATCCCACAACACCTAAAAATACCTGGACAAAAATATAAGAAACAAAACCAAGGGAGAAAAAGTACCCAAGCATAACAGCTTTATTTCACCCTTCTGGTTATATCTCTGCCACAAACAAAGTATGAAAAAGAGTTCTAACTGTGAGTGGGTTTGGATCGCAAAAAAACAATGCTGACTCATGTATTGGAGGAGGCCCTGCTCTTGTATGAATCCTTGTAACCTTCTTATTTCCACTCAGCATCAGATGGTTTTCCACCTGCCGAAAGTTACTTCCTATCATTTTAATGTATTCACTCATTTAAAGTGATTGTCTGGAGTTTGTCAGAAAAAAGAGAGAAAGGTACATGATTTTTCAAAAACGGCCCAAGCTCCCTCCCCCTGCCTTTCTAATTGGTCTGTGTTTCCGTAACAATCAACATATTTAAATGTTAATCGGAGCACACATTATACATAAACATTACTTCATGGCAAAAATAATGTATTAATGCACAAAAAAGGCAATCGCTGTAATCCCGGAAGTAGCTTTTAACATTAGTTGAACATTATAGGACACATCGGCAGAGGATCTGATTATTATTATTATTATTATTATTATTATTATGTGTTTATTTGATAGGAACAGAACAAGAAGCATTGTTACAGGAACCGATGCTGTGTTGATAGGCCGTATAGCTAACAGCTAGTTTGCAGACCTGGTCCCTAAGACATAGAAATACATCACATTTACATTATACATGCTCATTATATTAAAAAATAAGTAAATAAGTAATACTAAATAACAAACAAGAAAGTAACCACACAGATTACATAGCACAGAAAAAAAAATACAATAGATGGTTAGTCTTGCATGGATATAGGTTCAGTATATAAATGGGTAATTCAGCGCGGATGTTCAGAATTCTTTGTTCAGTTTTCATGTAGTTTCAGAGCCTAATGGAGGCTTGATTCGGAGGCTCCGTAAAAACAAACAACTGAGCATGCGCGCAGCTATGAGCATGCGCGCAGCTATGAGCATGCGCGCAGCTACGAGCTAAGAGAAGGGAAGGCAGGACTTACCCGCAATATTAGGAGATTTAAGGCCAGGAGGTCATATTAATACAATCTTTCAATTTCTAATTCATTTAGAGTTCCAAACTACCACTTTAACTGTGAAATCGAGCACCTTCCTATTCAAAAGCAAAGTACTCAGAGGAAAAAACAAACACATAGATAGCAGCCATTTTCCCTAAAGTAATACAGGGCTTTACATATTCATTAAGTGGTTTGTTTTTCCTTGTTTGAAGAGTCCAATTATCCGGTGACATATGCGCATTAGTACATTTAAAGTAGAGTGTTTTTTTCTCGTCAGAGGAGCTAAAGAAAGTGTCCCACTGACACTGCAATTGCATGTTTTTTTCTCTGTCATTTCTGCAGCCTGATGTTTTGGACCAATTGGAATGAGCAGAGGCCCAGTATCATGAGGTCCACGCTGTCGGGGAAAAACATGCAGGTCATCGTCAGTTCCGATATTCTGACTCCCAACGGCCTTAGCATTGACCACCGAGCCGAGAAGATCTACTTTTCTGACGGGACGCTGGGCAAGATCGAGAGATGCGACTTTGATGGCTCCAACAGATACGTGAGTAGTTCATTTTGTTATTGTAGTTAAGATAAGAGATTCTTGCATCACAAGTTACAGAACGCTAGAAATGAGAAGAACATAAGTTAGGTTTAGCACAATTTAGCATAATTTGGTCTGATTAAGGGAATTACTACATGTCTCAATATAACAAATAACAAATAACTCAATAACAAATGTACTTTATTGGGAAAAGGTCATTTGTATTTTCTATTCTTACAAGTCTAAACAAATCTCTATCCTTAGCTTAATTAATACAGGACTTTAAAAATACTGACATTACATTTGTATGCAGGGGATGCTAAACATGTGATTGTTTCTGTAAGGTTTAAGCATGCTTTTAGGTTGTGTCATTGTGACACCACAACATTGCCTAACCATCTGAATCTGTGCTAGGATTCATCTTATTGTGCATTATCATTATATTTCTGCTCTTATCCCTCTAAGCTATTCCACTGGCAATTGTTATTTAAAATAGTGTATTATTCATCATTTTTGAAGGAATTTTTGCTTTGGTTGTGCCTCGTGCCATTAGACTGCACAACTTTTTGCAGTCGGATGGCAAGTGATTCGCTGTACTTTCAACATTTTAAATTGTACTGTTTTAATAATATTTTAGCAACTTATTTATTATGTACCTTTGAATGAAAGCAGCCGGCACCACTGTATTTTTCTTTGGGATTGATGAAGTTTATCCTATTCCTATTTATCCTCGCAGCAGCAGCAGCAGCAGCAGCAGCAGTAGCAGTAGTAGTAGCAGTAGCAGTAGCAGTCGTAGTAGTAGTAGTAGTAGTAGTAGTAGTAGTAGTAGTAGTAGTAGTAGTAGTAGTAGTAGTAGTAGTAGTAGTAGTAGTAGTAGTAGTAGTAGTAGTAGTAGTAGTAGTAGTAGTAGTAGTAGTAGCAGCAGTAGAAGAAGTAGCAGCAGCAGTAGAAGAAGTAGCAGCAGCAGTAGTAGTAGTAGTAGCAGCAACAGTAGTAGTAGTAGCAGCAGCAGCAGCATTAGTAAGTAGTAGCAGCAGTCTTTGTCATTTAGTGTGTGTATATTTATTTCCTCTCATAGCAAGGGAAAGTGTGCTCCCACCGATCCATCGTGAAAAAAGAGTTGATCCACACAGCAGTGGATGGAATATACAAATGTACAGACAACATGATTTTAGCTCTATATTGAGATTTAATAACGAGCCACGTGAGTCATAGACTATCATAAGCAGAGCGACGTGCTATGACCTCTTTAAACTTTATGTTCTCGCATCTATAATAATGTGTAGCATAGAGCTGAAAAAGAAATCAATTATTATTGTGCTACTGTATATCTGGCAATCCAATTACAGCATTCTCAACCCTTTGACCCAAAATATGTATGTTTTTTTCTTTTTCTTAAATGAAGTTGGAACCATGCCTTGCACCACATTTGACCTTACAAAGTCTGCCGCCAAAATCAGCATTAATAATTAACATTTTATGAAAGATTTTTATGTTTATATTTGATTGGTCAAAGCCTGCTGTGAAGTATTCTCACTTTGAATATCTCATGCATAATGTATCCCACTCACAGTTAGGTGTAGCTTTGGACCCTGGTGCGCTCAGGCCTTCAGTTCAAGGTACTATTTTTGCCGAGCATTTCACTTTTTTGAAAACTTGACACGACCTTAGCCGCCCGGTTCCTTGGCCCCGTCTCAATTAGCTACTCATATGTTTGCTGAAGAGGGTCGTAAGGCTGTGGAAGACTTCACCCCGGAGTGCCCCACTGCCCCGACCGCAGACTGCCTCCGCTAATGAAAGTTACGCCGTTAAGCCCACAGGGTGCTCCTCCTCCGCCCCAATTAAAATGTGTGAATGAGACGGGAAGAGAACTTAGTTGGGTTCAAACTATGGAAATATTAGAGCGACTCGAGCGTAGCATACAGGAAGAGGGTGGAAAGTCATGTGATTATGAAATGCTTGGGTTGCTATGGTGGAAATTCCGTCATTGTTGAAGTGGATTACCTTTGTACATATCTTTCCCTGGTGCAATTTTTAATGTATTTGTGTTTTTGGCCTTTGTAGATGAAAGTAAAACTGTTTCAACTTTCAATAATGAATCTGCATTTTCACAAAACACATCCCAAAAAAGGTTAGGGCAAGACTACAGAGAGGTTTGCCCATTATTTTGCATATAAACTGTATTTCTATGTAGAAAGAGTGCAATGAATTTGAGTAATAGAGATATTTTTTTGAGCATTGCAATAATAATAGATTCAAACAATTTGAAAGGGTTTTGAGACATTATTATCAGTAAATCATGCATACACACTCAATAATAAATACATTTTACATGCTGCACAATCAGCATAAATGTATAAGACTCTTTGTTCAATTAAATTAGCTAATCATTACACCAGTAGGCAGATGTTAGTAATAGTTATCTGAAGGTCAACGCAAACCGATCTAACTTCTGTATTTTGCCTGGGCATAAAACACCAGGATGCTGTAATAACTGTGTAACAACATTAAAACATGTCTTCAACTGAGACAGACTTCTGCAAGAAAATTGGCAAATCAAGTAAATAATATAGTGGATGTGTCTGATGTAAATTTATCCTGTGTGAGATCAATAAAGTCTATCTTATCTTATCTAGCCGTGATGGGCAGAGGAGCTATAGAAAGGGTGTCTGACTGGAACCAGACTGGGTTGGTGTGGCTGCAAGTTTTTAGGTCCAACCAAACAAAAGCACCTCACCCTTTTCCTCAAGTCCTCAAGTTCACATTGGACTCAACGACAGCAGAGTTGGTGGAGAATGTCTCATGAGGGGATTGAACCCACGACCTTCAGGCTCAAAGGCCAAATTTACCAACTGAGCTACTGCCCTTTGACGCCCTAATCAAGACGGATCTAAATGACTTAAATCTAATGCATGTGTCAAATAACAAGTGTGTAAAGAGAAAACCATTGAAAAAAGTTGAAAGAAGTTGATTTTGACATCCTCTTTATGTAATTGTATTTATCCACAAATGTTGGTACCCATCTTTTGTTTTTGACTGCATAATTGACACACATTAATCATTAATTGGATGACTGTTGACGAGAGTGGCCGTTCCTTCGGGGTTTGGTGCTATTACAGACTGTACAATGAAGCCGCTGTATCGATGCCATTTAGAGAGCGCCGCATTGATGAAAGCTTTGCTCGACAAAGGGCAGTGAAGTACATGATGGGGGGGAAGATGGCGTAGTATTTGACAGAGGTAATATGACCTTTTAAACGTGACGTGGGGGCTGAAAATAGACCCCTTTGCTGATACACGCTCTTCTTTTTCGAGGGAGTTTGACATATTTGTACTCCAGTGTCGTGTGATGAATGAGTGGGCCGAATTACATGACCATGGACACATCACCGGTTGCACAATGGCCACAAGGCAGGGCTTCTGTACTATGGTTTTCTCAACACAAATACAGATTGTTCAGTCTGGTAAAGGTCAAATGTGAACCATTTAATGACAGTTTTCTCAATTTGGTGGATCACTTTTTTTGTCACTGAATCTACTTGAAGCTTGGAACTAAAATCTACCTCATTGGGGTATTTCTATCTCATTGTTTTAGGCAGCTGCATCTCAACAATTTGGAAGGAACCCATTTGAACCCATCCGTCCATTTTCTTTCCCTTAATTCACTTCTGGCAGTCAGAGCTGCACTCAGTACACATAGCACCAGCCCCTCACTGATCCTCCTGCAGGTGGTGAGTCCACAGGAGCATTGATCTTTCAGCGGAGGCTTCAGGCAAAGTGGGGTTAAGTGTCTTGCCCAAGGACACAACAACAGCAGACATCAGTGGGAGTCGTGAAGTAGGTCTTGTGGTGGGCTCGAAACCCACAACCTTCAGGCACAAAGGCCAATGCTCTACCAACTGAGCCACTGTCACCCCCACTACAGAAGTTAAAATTAAGTTTTAACTGCTCCTACAATTTTGAGAATAATGTGTACACTGCTTGCTGCACGCCCGCGTGCCGTTTTTATGTTTTTAAATGTTCTGCTGGCAATAGCAGATGTATTTTGAACACCAAACCCCAAAAGCTGTATATCATTTTAAAGCTTATTTTCTTATCTACATTTATATACACATCAGACTTTGCATTCAAAAGATATAACACATAATGTGGGTACAAAATAAATCAATTCCGAAATAGTTTTTTACCTTTGGGCTTGTGCTGTACAAATAAATCAGCTCTCCTCCCAGCTTGCAATACATCATTCTCTCTGGAACAGTCCAAAGGAAAATTATATCCACTTGTATTACCCAAAGTATAATCCATTCTGCAGAAATAATCCAAAAATGTGCATTTATCGAAATGCACGAACGAAAAAAAAGAGCACAGATGTTGCTTTTTCACTTTTAACGGACGAACAGCTTTGTTTTTCACCCAAACATTTGGTATCTACGTGTTCCTTAGCTCCTTATCTTTCAAATGAGACTCCTCCCAAAAAGCTAGACCAATTTTTGGGTCTGCAAGAGCTCCCGTGAGTACAGCTAGCGCTGCTGTTTGCGCATGGATCACTGATATTTGTTGTCTTCCCTTCTTGTTTGCTTCCATTTCCGGGATTTTTGATTGACATGTCCGTGTAGCCAATGAGGAAAGCTTTCGAGCAAGAGGTGGGACAATGGTGTCCTGTCTTATGTTGTGCCTGTAGAATTGTGCGTAATGGCAGCCAAAAGACGCTCTCGAAGCTGCAATGAATTTACACTCATAAAAAAATAACTTTGACATAAAAAAAAACCACACACATAGATTAGTAACTTATAAGTACCAATAATAAAAAAATATTGTTTTTATAATGATTAAATGTATGTAAAGATATTGCACTATGTGCACTACTTGATGAAAAGGAGAAACTGCATAAAAACTATATAACTTAGAAGTCTGAAACTTTAGACAGTTGTTGTCAACAACACAATGACAACAGGGTTTGAATATTGTGAACTTACAATGAAGTATGCCTTTTTTAGGGCCTTTAGAAATTGAAAATGTTAGGCGATGCCAAAAAAATTGGGGTTTTTTCCCAAACTTCAAAGGATGCAGAGGGAAATAGGAATGACAAACATTATTTTAGTGTTTTCTTACATAAACTAGAAGGCTCTAGCTTTAAAATGATGCATCACACAAGCATGTGAGATGTAAGATGTGTTTTTAAATAAGCAAAGACATTTGGGTATGCCCAACTTTTGTGTACAAGCCAAAATGAGGCGGGTGTTAAGAGGTGTTAAAAGCTTCTAAGAATAACATCTATAGGAAGAAAAGTATTGTGAATAAAGCACAATAACTGTGTACGGACTCTTATGGAAACAAAAACACATGTTTTCTTTTCAATACAATTCCCATTTACCAATTCAGAAATGATGAGAAAAGGCTGAAATAATTGACTCACTTTGTGCTTGAATATCCAGTCCATGATTATCAGTCCATTATCACCAGGGTGTCCACAGTATAGAGTGGTTGGAGCTGTCGTAGTCCTGCATTAGTTCTCGCCATTTAGTGATTAACCAATTCAAACTAAGTGTTTGTTTAAAAGGAGGGGAATGCAAATATTTCAAACCAGCGATTGCCTTGTGACTTTTTGAAAGAAAGCTCTGCATCTCATGCTCATCTGAAACCCAGATGCACATTTGAATCCACAGAAAAGGCCTTAATTTGTAGCATGCAAACAATGTTGACACTACAGTAATGGATTACGCGCTGTAAACCAAATGTGTCCCAAATCTCATTTCCTGTCAATATGTTCAGTCCAATCCATCTGGCTCTGCATCCTCTCCACAATTCTCTCTCCCTGCTCCTCTCTCCCCCGATGCCCAGTTGTTCTTCCACACGCTGGGGCCTTTAATCAACACCTGTCCTATTAATCCTGGCGTGTCAGAAGGCTAATACGGACCAGCTTTGCGGCAATGTCCCTCTAATGGCTATAGAACTAGGCCCAGATACTCAAAAAACCTGCATCTATATAGTCCTGGAAGGTCGCGAAAGGAAGTTTCTGATGGATTTCGAGATCTTTTTCCCCCCCTGCAACAAAACTGTCATTTGTTCACTGTAACATCTGGGTGAGGCAGTTAAGTGGGCGGTGGGGGTGATGAGTTGATTAATGAGTAGAAACATTATTTAGCAGGTTTTTGCGCAGCGAGGGTTGTGTCTCAGAATTATGCCGACGCTTCCTCTGGCTACGGCTTGATTTGCATTTGGAAAGCAGTGCAAATATTGACAGTGTTTACAAGTTGAAGTTGACAGTGTTTTATTATTCACAGAGATTAGAAAGATCTGGATTCTTTTAATCAGATACGTTTTAAAGTTTTAATCGTGGAATACAGAATCATGTAGTTTGTAGATTTATAGCATGTCTGATTTATAACATGTTTTTATTCAGCTTCTTGTTTTGTATGCTCAGTCTGTCAGGCCGGCTTTCTGATGGGAAGATCCAATGGTTCTATGCTTGATGGGATCTCTTGAGTCTACTCCGTACTGTGGTGGTAGATTAATTCAAAAATATTGAATATGTAGGTTAAATTACAACAACAAATATGTTTCTGAGCTGGTCTGGTAAGATCTTGGAAAATGGAAGGGGTAGTCTGGGCTTCTCTCCTCATCTATATTGCAAAGAGTGAAGCTGAAGGAATTTAAAAAACACTATTGTGACTTCAAACCTATATATATTGTCTGTTCATGTTTTCTGGTATTCAATTATTCAAAGTCTGTGGTAATTAAACTACAAATGTCAAATATATAGAATCTTATATGTGCTTTTTTCCAGACGAAATGGTGCTACTTAGGCTATTTGCATTTTGTTGTTGTTTCCAAACATCAATTTCAACTGTTAATTTAGCTGCAAAATGTAAAGTCATTACTTTAACACCTTCAAGCTACTTCCATCCCTCATGCAGTCATTTTTCTCTCCTATCCTTTCAGGTAATTATCAAGTCTGGTTCTGGAAACTTCTATGGTCTGGCCATCTATGCAGACTTCATGTACTGGTCGGACTGGGGTCGCAGAGCAGTTCTCCGCGCCAACAAGTACACGGGAGCTGATACCAAAGTCCTACGAGCCGATATACCTCATCAGCCTATGGGAATTATTGCTGTTGCTAGGGATACCAACAATTGTGAGTATGCAACAACAAAAACATTTCAAGGTTGACAAAAGGACTGCTTTTAAATGTTCACAAACTACTTCGAGAAGTACCGTATTTTTGACTATATGTTATACTTTATTTCTGCAAGTACAGTGGAGAGAAATGTGGAGAGGATTTAGCCGAGGGCTTTGTGAATAGGAATCCAAGACCATTCATTACATACCCATTGCAGACCTCCATTTGTACACATGTTTATAATGGTCTCTATTGTGCTCTATGTCCATATTTTGTGAATGTCTTAATGCACAGAAGGCACTACATGTACTTTTGCTTGGAAAAATAATTCATTACGGTCATGAAGTTGCAATAGGCCAACATAAATATCTTACTCCATGCACTTTTTATGCAAGAAAAAGTAACTTTGCTGATCCCCATGCAATGTAATTCACCAGAGGTCTGTTTATTTTAGAGCTACAATATATAATGCAAATAAGGTCGTCCTGTTTTTCTACCTTACAGTTTTCTCAATTATCCCCCGAAGACTTGGACTTCTGTCAATAATGTTCAGATGCGATTCTCATAAAGAAGTAACTAATGCTAATATATGTAAACCCGGCTTATTGAAGCTCAACATGCGGGGGTGATAAATGGAGGTGATCTTGTTTAGAATGCTTAGAAGCTTCCGTTTCCAAGGTAATTAATAAAAACGAAGCCTGTGTTGAGGTGGGAGTCTCTAAAGTGTCGTTGAAAGTTTAATTTACAAGTAGGACGCCGAGAAGTAGGCTTAAGTGTGTCCCTATGGTTTGACTGTGCTCTGTTATTCATGTATCTCATCATGGGACATAATCATATCTCTGACCTAAACTGGCTTTGGCTACACCTGCGCCTCTATACACGGGCTGTAGCAACGGCTTCAAATCACTTTATTCAATTTCTCGTCACCACGGTGTTGGTTTTATTGTGTTTCACTTGACACAAACATCCGGGTTGTAAGTGTTAATGGAGTATAAATGGTTTACCTGGCCTTGAGAGATTACATAGCTTCAAGTAATGAATGATACTGTGGATTTATAGGACCAGGAAGCAATGTGTTTCTATGGACCTTTTGTGTACTTTTCTGACTGCTCATTTCCCAGAGATGCTGGATTGTACAAAAAAGAATAATGAGAGAAATGGTGTGCAATAGTGATATGTTTTTATTGTCATGATTTTTTCCCTATACATATATACAGTATGTATTATATAATGGGGTAATCCTTCACAATTCTGCTTAAACTCAACTTAAACTAAAGCAAGAGATTAAAATGGAGGACTGGCATTGCTACACTGTGCTTCTGCTAATCACAGATAAACTAAAGCTTGTTGCAATTCCACTGCTTTCATCTTGAGCTGTGACCCTCCTCCTCTCCATATCCACTTCAACATCGGGAGGTGGTTTTTTTCTCCATATAACCTCATCACCAGGGTCTAGCTCCTGCATCACAAATGTACTACTATAAGATTTTTATTCATTATAAAACTAACTGCAAAAGTACAGAAAAGGTCTATGTATTACACTGCAGTTTACTTTAACTATAAACTTTAACTCCATCCATCCAACCATTTTCATTCGTAATCCATTTCTCATTTCTTGGTAGCAACCAGAAGTGCCACCCAATTCTCATAGCACCACCGACAACATGTCCTTGGTATTCCTTGGGTTGATGCAGAGCGGGGTTAAGTGTCTTGCCGAGGGACACAATGACAGTCAACGTCAGTGGGAGTAGATGGAGTAGGTCTCGCTGGGGGATTGAACTCACAACCAAATATGAACTAGACTCTCCATATTTCTATAAATTATTTGTATCTTTCAACCATCTATAGTATTGTATACAGTCATCCCTGTATAACTTCAATCCTATTTACCCGTCTCCATGGGGATCCACTGGTTGCTATGGACTGAAAACATTCAATCACATTTCACTCAGTGCAGATGCATTGTCATGTGTTGAACCTAACTACTACATGTAAACAACATAGATGTTTGTTGAAATGCAGAATTCTATCATTGTCCAGTTCTCTTCACTGAAAAAAGAACATTGCTTCATGATTTGATAAGAAGAGATACGAATAAACAATATAAAGGGGTGTGCTGGTCTGTCATGGTCAGCATCTGTTTTTCACATTACAGTCATTGACAACGGTAATTGGAATCCTGATATGTTCTGACGACATGTATTAGCGTCGTTCTTTCAGACTGAGAACACGATACTTGGAGAGTAATTGCCGGGTGCAACAATGGCATGTCGTTAACTTGTCGGCAATGTTGTTGCAATTAGTCTCGAGAAAGGGTCATCCACCACGGAAAATCAAGACGAGATCAGATTAGGTGGCTTTGTTTTTGCAATAACCCAATGGATCATTTTAGCATGTCTCTTCTGTTAATGTTAAGTTAGTGTGTTGTCTATAATACAGCCGTGTATCTTTTCATGTTTGGAATTATGCACCACTAATAACTTTTTTCATAACTCTGAATTAACAATGGATAAATATGATCAATGTGTAGACACAATTTTATGCAAAGCAATGGATCAATCAATATTCAGAGCGTCTCAACTGGAATAGTGACTGGATCCACCTTTTAACATATAATTCGGGACCAAAGTAACTGAATTAAGTATATCCATAATGTTTATTTGTCACAAATTGTTTGTACATATGCTTTGAATATTACAACATGATAAATGTATGAATAAAATATCTTCAACAAACTCTCAAAATAGATCATGTAAGTGTATAAATTCATATATTTGTCTTCTACTTGGGTAACTTCCTTGAAGAAATCTGCAAATGGGGAAAGTGTGTGTATGTTTTTTTGTTAATTAAGTTGTATCTACATTTCTGTGGATTTATTTTTACTTTAGAGTGCCTGATCAGAACTTCATCCTGGAATCAACAATCCCCTATAGCAGCCATTCCCAAACTCAGTAACACCGAGGCCCCCTTAAAAATCTGACGGGTCTGCGTGGCCCCCCAAAATAATAACCAAGAAGACAACATTAAGAATAGGCTCTTCTGGTTATTTTATTTTGGGGAAATAGCCTCTGCTACAAACATTGTAATACAAAAATGATTACAGTGGATTATTCAAGTCAAATAATGAACACAAATATTTTAATATTACAAACAAAACATTATAAATTTAACATTAAATAATTATATTATTTTTTTATTTTTTTTATGACCTCCCGCGGCCCCCCTGCAGTACCATCGCGGCCCACCAGGGGGCCGCGGACCCCACTTTGGGAGACACTGCCCTATAGTATGAAATAGTATATGGCTATAGATAGAAATAGTGTAGTAGCCCAATCAATCATTATTCGTATAGCAAGTATTCTTGGGTTTCATTAAACTTGCCTGTAGGGGGCGAATGAGCAGAGATGAGACAACTCAGTTTTGCTCCCATTGAAAAGCATGTATATTGTGTCTGTTTTGGAGTCAAAAGGCTCTCATCATGTGCGTTGTAAGGTTGCTGTAAAAGTCTTAATCGGGAGGGGGACACTGAATTCTAAGGGAGTACAAAAAAATATTTCTCAAAAGAGTCTTGATTTTGGGCATTTTTGAAAAAAAAAGCAGAAGATTCGGGTGGCCTGCAGGGGGCGCTTATCTGAGAAAGCCTTGATCCACCTCGCCCGCATCATTCCATTTTTTCAAAGCGTACTCCTTTATAAGAGACCACAGTTGGAACACGGAACAAACTCTTGTCGGTTGCACGGTTGCTACAAGCTTACCGCACAAAAAGATGGCATTTTGACAGCGCTTCTTCTTCTACTATTTCTCCGTGTATATACCCAGCAGACTGCACCGACAGGATACGTCATGTCCTGTCCTACGTTTGTTGTTCGCGCCACTGCTCTGATGTCATATGAATCCCAAGAATAGTATAGTGTAAAGTGTACATTCAAACTATACATTTTAGACATATCACTCAGAAAAAGTTCGCTACCCACTAAGAATGACTTATGCATACCGACCCACCAGTTGAGAACAACTGAAATACATCTACACAACAAAAATATATGATGTGAGTCGGAGGGATGTCTGGCTCAATTTTATCTTGTAGAAATGTCTTTGCACTAACTAGCAATCTCAGTGACCCGGTGTTGACATTGCTAATTGACAGAAAATTGGCAAAATGTCACCGGTTTAACCTTCTCACCCTCTCTCTCTCCACTTTATTTTTTGGGGGGGGAGGATTTTGAGCGTGCCCTATTCACACTCTTTTGATTTCATCTGCAAAAATCAGTCATTAGTGCTGGAGTAGAAATGGCAAAAGGCTAAATACGTGTCAGTAAAAGCTCTCGGAAAAGATCACGAAATCACTGGAATACTTGTACGTTGGTGACATCTCTGGAGACGGCGCGTCCCGGGGGAGGTGCGGTGGTCGTTGGGATGCTGGCGGCTGATGGCCAAATCATTAACGTTGATTGTTTCTGTTGAAGGTGAGATGTCTCCGTGTCGACACATGAACGGAGGCTGCGGAGACCTTTGCCTTCTGACGCCGCAGGGCCGGGTCAACTGCTCGTGCCGAGGGGAACGCATTCTGCTCGACGACAACAGATGCGTGTGTAAGTCCCATTTAATAAGCTCAGGCCACAAGTGCTAACCTTTTGGAACATCCTTAGTACACTTTATTGATTCCCCTGCCACTTTTTATGGATTGGTTATTTTGAACAAAGTCATCAGTGACATTTCTTATGCGTGGCGTGTCTCTTTTGCTCTTAAGGTCCCCGTTTGAAGTGTTTACATAAACCTTTGATGCCTCCGTATTGATCCCAGCTTTGAGCAGCCAAACATAAACAGCTATGCGTTTATAGCAAGCCGCGATTGCTGTTTGATTAGGCAGAAATAATGATCCTGAAAGTAAATTTTGCCTGTCTAATGTTAATTGACTTTTGCTCAAGACCAAAAGATAAATCTGACATATCTTCTCACTTAGAGATCACATCAAATAAGTAGCAACCGGTGTCTTTCTTTGCTAATTGAGCATATGTTTACGAAATCTAAAGATCAGAGGGATCTGCAAAGTTATGCTTATGATTAGAGCGCTGCAGTGTGGGCTGATGGGTGATTATCCAGTATATTAAATGACTCAAAACAGATTCATTTCAACGACTATTATCACAAACATGCACAGGATAAACAACTCTACTTCCTGGACCAAAAGGCAATGTATGAAGATCTGCTGACGATAGAAAATATAATTGCTTTGCATGTTTTATGTTATGGTGAATCTTAAAGTAACTCATTATCAATATTAATAATAATAATACATATTTATTCCGGACTCAAGGTCCATACAAAAGGTGATACAAAGACACCACAATAAAAAGTATGTAATCCCTATTTAAATAGTGGCATTTGTGATGACAAAAGCGATCAAAGCCTCGGAACATTACCATCCACCATACACTCATATTTTAAACGGTGAGGGAACCCGGAGCTCCCAGAGGAAACCTATGCAGATACGTAGAGAGAACGTGTAAACTCCACAAAGAAAGGCTTGGAGGAGGAATGAAACCAAGGATCTTTGGGGAAAAAAAAAACACAAACGAAAGAATGCATAGCAAGAAACAAAGAGCTTCTAATAAACCATCACCTTTTAATATTATTTAGTATAAAATGATTGCATTCAAAACAAGATGAATACAATTTAGCCTGGCCTTAGCCATCTGTGAACTCCTACTGTATATGTACATCTGGGTCTGATCTTAGTGGCTGCAGTTTCCTCAGTTGAATCTCCTCTGTCCATTCAGCAAACGGGGGAGGCTGTTGGTGTAGGTATTGTCAGTGACTTAAAAAGTTTGCGCCAATTTGGTGGTTGTAGTTTGGTAATGGCGGCGAATGCGATAGTAAAGGAAGTTCTGAAAAAGAAGATCTGTTCTGGTTCGCCTCCAAATATCAAGAAACTGAAGCAGGAGTAAGATGAATGTTATTGGCTAAGGGGCTGGCTAAAGCTAGGCTAAATGCCTCACTCACTCACTCGGGTGCTTTACATACGTCACGGCAAACTCAGAACTAATCGTTTCAATCTGAAAAAGGAGTTAACCCCTCTCATCTGTTAACAGAGCTCAATTGAGTATGATGTGGTAAGAGCAGAGGAATAATTAGTTAGAATGAGTCAAAATTTGAATATGTATATTTCTTCATTGCCTAAACTCAATGTCAAAATGGTTGGTCTCAAAATAAGCATTGAAAAAAAAAAAAAAAAAAAAGAAAATAGCTAAAAAAAAAAAAAGCTTGTTTGAAAACTTGAAAGTGGGTACAAAATAAGCTGCCCATGCATATTGAGAACTACACGCGGATTAGTTTATCACATTAGAACCTGTTATATTAGCTCTGTCATTAGCATGCATTGTGAAAGATCCAAAATTAAGCAGCTTGTGTGGATTTCCATATGTTAATGACTGTGAACTTGGAGGGGCTAATGCCGTAAACATCTGGATTGGCAGAAACTCATGACCTCAGTTTTGTGCCTCTGCAGCTGAAAACTCATCCTGCAACATCCACACCGAGTTTGAGTGCGGAAACGGAGAATGCATCAACTACCAGCTCACCTGTGATGGAGTGGCCCACTGCAAGGATAAATCAGACGAGAAGATGCAGTACTGCGGTAAGAGATAAACTACAGGTTTCAGAATAATCTCTATGTTTTGTTTAAAGCTCAATTAGATGATGGATTTGCTTCTACATTAGGATGGGAAGAGGCGATGTGGGAGGAAAAGACATGCGGTTCGACCCTGTGACCATATGCACTATAGCCTATTTTAAATTAAAGTTGATGTACTAGTTTAGTTTAGTCTTGATTTGAAAATGGCAAGTATTCTTCCATCCATCCATCCATCCATTTTCTTCCCCTTAATCCATTTCTGGGTTGGGGGGGTAGCAGTCAGAGCTTCACCCAGTCACAGAGCACCAGCCCCTCACTGATCCTCCTGCAGGTGGTGAGTCCACAGGAGCTGAGATCTTTCAATGGGGGCTTCAGGCAAAGTGGGGTTAAGTGTCTTGCCCAAGGACACAACGACAGCAGTCATCAGTGGGAGTCGTGAAGTAGGTCTTATGGTGGGCTCGAACCCACAACCTTCAGGCTCAAAGGCCAATGCTCTACCAACTGAGCCACTGTCGCCCCTTTGAGAAGTATTCTTCTCAAAGATTTTGCACCAGATTATAGCTACACAACTAATAATTTCCATCTGCAGTCTCTGTCACACGTAAAAGAAACACAATCCCGAAAGATTTTTTTTTTTCTGCAAATGCTTCTCATTTGCATCTCAGGAGATCTAAATGAGATTCTCACTAAAAGCTCATCCTATTCTCATATTTGTCCCATCTAGTTTGTTTCGCCTAAAATTCACTATGAGGTATAAAATAGAAAAAAGACAATTGTTGTACAATGGGAGACGCTGTTAAGAAACCTTTATGGAGACAAACTTGAATTAAAACAGCCAATGCATTTTGCACTTTCAAAAATGTATCAAAATAAAAAATAAAAAAAACTTTTACTTGATACAAATATTTGCATTAAAAAAATACATTACATTAAAGATTCAGATTAATTTATTTCCATTTGCAGTAAAACCACATTGGAAGAACTGCGCGTATAGAGCCCGCCGCAGTGTGAGCTGCTTTGTTTGCTTCAAAGCCTTGAAAAGTCAGTTTGATTCTTCAGGTCTGTAGTGAGCTTGTTCTTATAACGCTGTTGTTGAAAAGACTGATTGTGAAAAGGAGGTTTTACATCTGGGTATGCGACTGCTCTGACTACCTCACTTTCAAACTACAAAAACGTGAAAATGAAAAGGGTTCCTACCACGGGTTTTCTTATGCCCCTGTCAGCTCTCAGAGGACCACCCTCAGCCAACCAGCTCTCAGCCCAAACTGTCCAATCGTGACTGGCGCTGCTCTTTGTTGATCGACTTCACTGTGACACTATTTTCCTGTACTTTCAGCTTGTTTCGTTCCTGCATTATGTTTTTCACCTTGTTTTATTGATGTCTTTTGCCCACCGGGGACTTTTTCACTTCTAATGTATTTTTTTCTGCAAATGGCAAATAAAATGATCTGAAATCTTTCCTTTCCAAATTTCCACAGTTACATTCTTACAACAATCTGTCTTTTGTGTTGTATCTTGTGCAGAGAACCGCAGCTGCCGTCGGGGCTACCGAGCGTGTTACAACCAGCACTGTGTGTCCAACAGCCTCTTCTGCGATGGCGTGGACCACTGTGGGGACAACTCTGATGAGGCCTTCTGCACCAGTAAGTCAGGCCTGTTTGATCTCTGCTTCAATCCTGTCTACCTCTCTGGGCCGCACCAACTTTTAGATTAAATACGCCACTTCACGCTGTGCTAAACCTCGGCTGTATAATGAGGCGGCAGATCTTCAAAAGTTCACTCTCTGGCGCCCGTATGAAATGACTTTTTGAGCTCTGCATGTCCTTCCTTGTGCCCTGGGTGAGTTGTTATGAACGTGAAGGTGCAATAATGTTAGAAAAAGACCAGGCTGAGCATTTATTTCCACTCTATAATTGGTCTGTGGAGAAAGACTATGCTTGAGTGCGAGTTGATTGAACCCACACGCCGAGCTTGTGTGCATCTAACTTCGAAAGCATTTTCCTAATTAATGTAAAACTTTCTATTCAATGGCCAAGGAGGAAGGCCATCTCCTCCTCTGTCATTTTAATAGGATATGCGCCTTTAATTTGTCATCAGAAGCTTTCATTTGCTTTTAGAGGTTGCCAAAACATGTTTAAAGCTATCTCTAATACATTAGTATTTTTTAGGGGTTATACCATGTGGTCTTTTGCTACGCCAATTAACAATAAAGAAAAAACAAGAAAAAACACTGTTCAAATAAAATGGCTTACCTGTTTTAAAGATTGATAACCTTTGCTGCTAATTCTAAAAGGCTGTGACATTTTGTATACACCCTATCTGACACTTTGACGAGTTCCACAAATGTGAAGAGATTACAGTTTGGTTAGTTTTTAATTTCTTCAAATTTTACCTAAAGAACTCATAATTTAGTGTTGACCCTGGTAGTGATTTAAACTCGGTTGTTAGCCTGTATGCAGTGAGATAATTTAAGGTATATATTTAGCTATACCCATTTCTACAAGGTTTGAATGTTTAGCACCGCCCCTCAACTCGCTCACAGGCTTCTCATTTCCCCTATGCTCTCATTCCACGGAGCCATCTAGTTTTATTTGCGATCTATATGCAAACATTAGCATGAGCACAACTTCTTGTAAGCTGTACAACAATCACTGATGAAATGTTACAAAAGCAACGCACTGCTAACAAAAACTGAAAAATGACCGCTAGTTCCGCGTCCGAATGTGGTCTGAGCAAAGATAGTCTGGGGCAGTCCCGCAGGTCTCTCCCATAGACAAGTCTCTCTCATGAAAAAAATAAATAATTGGGTATAGCATAGCTTAAATAGCTGATACATACGGATCAAAATAACACATTTGCTCGATGGTTATGATATTTTTCTGCTCAGCATTCACAAAAGTAAACATTCTAAAAGTATAATAAAAGGTAATACATGCAAAAGATCTAATGCACACTATGATAATAATGATTTCTGCTCTGGTTATGTACAGCACAGCAGAAAAACAAGATCAATCCTGATTGCATCATGGTTAAAAGCCTGATATTTTAAACTTGTTGATAGCATCTTAGCTGTGTCATTTAAGTTCACTCGCATGCTTCTCTTTAAAGCTGCATAACAGAACGCAACCCTGAGCTAATTCCAGCCTCCAGACAGGAGCTCTAAGTATTGTTTTGAACTGTACCTGTAAGTGTCTGCAAGTGCTGTTTCCTCTCTCTTATCTTTTTGAAATGCTAATTTTTCTTCTCCCAGATGTCACATGCAGCTCATCAGAAACATCCTGCAAAGACGGGAGCTGCGTGCCGAGCTCCTCATGGTGTAACCAGGTCATAGACTGTGCCGACGCCTCCGACGAGAAGAGCTGCAGTAAGTCCTTCTTGCGGGTCAAGGAATATGCAAGCCAGTTTTACTATTTGAATTATTTCATAGCCATGCATTTAGGATTTGTGTATTTATGGGACTTTGTTTTTGTTCTGGAGGTCATGAAGTGACTGACTAAAATAATCAGTTTTTCTACCATTGTTCAACAATTGGGTTAGGTATTTTGAGGTGTACACTACATAGAATATGACAACAAGCATTGTGTGGATACATGTAATTGAAATAGTAGACTCTTTGGAATGGGGTGAAATCTAAAAAACAAATTGCCACTGGGAAATTTGACCCATCCAGCAATACCATTAAGAGAATCCATGTAGCACTCTGGGACCCATCTCCAGATATTGATGTCTAAAGATATCTTAAGAAGTCTATCCGTCATACAGTGGGGGGATCTTTGTGTTGAACCATGTATCCATCTCTCTTCTTCCTCACACCCCATCAGTGCCTTTTTGACTCGCTTCTTTCTGCTTTGTATTCAGACCACACCGACTGCTCCCACTTTTACAAGCTGGGGGTGAAAGAGAGAGAATTTGTGAGCTGTAACTCCACCTCTCTGTGCATCCACCCCTCGTGGATCTGTGATGGGGCCAACGACTGTGGAGACTATGCCGACGAGACCAACTGTCAGGGTGAGAGCGGAGACACGCTTTCAACTCTGTCGTCTGATCGCTCGGGCTGAACAACAGCAACAATCTTTAATTTATCTTGGATGATTAGACCCCAGAAGAATTCAGCAATGTTTTGGTTTATCTTGACAATATTGTACAGTTCTTTAAAAGTGGAAGCTTGTGATGTTCTAATGACATAAACATTTGATGAATTACATTTTTCCATCCATATATGAAACCTGGGGCACCTCACAATAGAATCTAATAAAGTCTATGCCTTCAAAGCTGTTTGGTTTCAATGATCTAGTTCAGACCTGGCTCAAACCAGGTTCAGACCAGGTTCAGACCTGGTTCAGACCTGGTCTTCCATTGGGGGCTGTAAAAAGAACCTTAGTACACCACCTTCACTCAGCAAATGTGTCAAATGTGTCTGACTCATAGGGATCTTTGTATGCCAAAGATAACATGTTTTTTTTTTATATGTTTTAATTTTGGAGAAAATAAGTGTTCCTTTCCATAGTTACTGCTTAATTGCCAGCATTGCTGTATTTTTTGCACCGATCAACCTGAGTTTAAGACGCATTATCAAATGTTGCCTTTACTTTCTAATATATGGTGCACCGGATTATAAGGTGCAGTGTTGAAATTGAAGGCTTATTCATTTTCTTACTTAAATGTGACATGTGAATACATTTGCACTTTCCCTCATCATTTAATTACAAAATCCTGTATATGAATTAGCGACTCGCAGGTTTGACATAAATCATATCTCCAAACAGTGACTTATTCCATTGACGTTCTACTGCTGAATCCCTCATAGTCCAGAAGAAAAGCAGCATTTCTTTCATTGTAAATCCTAAGTCTAAATATCCCTGTCTCTATCCATGTCCTGTCATGTTGTATTTCCAATTGTGTGACTTTGTGTTGTTTTGTCACAGTCTCTCATGGGCAGAAGTGTGAGGAGGGACACTTCGCTTGTCCAAGTGGAAACTGCATCTCCAGTGTTTGGTTGTGTGACGGCCAAAAGGACTGTGAGGACGGAGCCGATGAGTTTCAGTGTGGTAAGAAAAACTCTTTTGACTCTTCACTTTGGCGTTGTGATCAGTCCATGGAAATGTGTATGATTTTCATGGCTTTTCCGTCTGAATATTGTCAGCCGAATCAAGTGTTGCACCGTTACATATTTATTTCCACACTAGGAACAAGATTATCTGTTATCCTTTTTAATTTTTTGCTCTTTTATTTGGGCAGCTGGTGTTGTTGTAATTGAGTTATAACATGGACATTTGTTTTGCTTTATTGTTTTTATTTATTCTCCTTTTCAGTGTCAATCAATCAATCAATCAATCTTTATTTATAGGGCGCTTTTCCTGCACAGGGCAACACAAAGCGCCTCACAATCCACACCACACAATGCACAAATCATCACCATTAAAATACAATTAAAAACACATATGTAATTAAAAAGCATTAAAATCACACAAGTAATTTAAAAACATAAGAATCACACAAGTAATTAAAAACAATAAAATAGTTAAAAACACAAAAAGTTACAACAATAAATAACAAGGTGTGTTAAAAAGAGATAAAATCCTTCAGTTGTATGCACAGGCAAACAGAACAGTCTTTAACCTGGATTTGAACATTGACTGAGTAGAGTGTCGCTCATAAGTGTTTTTTTCTGGTGTAGTTTTCTGAATTCATCATTATAATCATCATATGTAAAGATCATGCTTACGCTTTTGCAAGTTTTTGGTTGCACATACTGGTTCCATGTTTGCATAATATTGCGTCGGTTTCATATAACGCTTTTTTGGACATTCAAAGATGTTTCACATGTCATTATTCATTCACTCCGTACATGGGCATACATTACTACAGTAGCCACAGCTGCCCGGGGGCACACTGACAGATCAAAGCCACTAGTTTGTGCCTTCTGCCCCTCCAATTACCCCCAACCATTCACACACACACACACACACACACACCCATCAGACTCAATCTAAGCAATGCGCTTTGCCTCGGGACACAACCACAGTTTGGCACTTTGCAGTCGCCCATGCGGCACCTGGTGTTCTCAGAGGTCTCCCATCACAGTACTAACCAGGCCATGCCTTGCTTAGCTTCATAGATCCTAAGGTCTCTGACTTTCACATGCAGGTGTAATACAAAACTGGCGCTTCACATGTCACATATATAGTCTACTCCATGCAATAAGGCGAGGCAACTAGTATGTGCCTTCTGCCCCTCCAGTCAGCACCAACCATTCACACACACCAGACTCATTCTCATAATTTCATAGTATATCTTTTAGAGAAATAGTGAGAACTTGCTGCATTGTGTAGAATCAGTAATTGGTTTGTATCAAGTTTAGTCCGAGTTCAGTGGTACATTATCAAGTGTAGACTCTGCCACTTTAGACATTACCGTTTTAACCTGTGCATAAATATATAGTTGACATCACCATTTATCCATCGTATTTTCAATCACAAGCAGCACTCAGCAGTAACCCATAGTCCCAGTTTCCTCATATACACCAGGCACAGACGGCGAGTGATGTAATGTCCCCTAATGGCTGAGAATAGATGGTGTATAGTCTGGTGAGCGGAGGGAGATATTTATTTTCCATTAACAAGGCGCTATTTGTTGTAATGCCTTTGTCATTTAAATAGATCCGGGGCTCCAACAAATAATACATACAATATATAATGAGCAGACAAGGAGAGGGTAGATGATTGTTTGTCGCGCCACAAGGCAGTATTTCCTCATTTTGTTTTCCCCCCGTACGTCTGTGAGAGCTCACGTGGGCGTTGCTTGCTTGTTTGAAAGTCTAATTTTGACCCTGAATTCGAATCCATTCTGTTCTTTCCCTTTGCTCTTTTTGAATTATCATACACTGATTTTCCTGTCTTTACATTTTAATTAACAAATCTGCCATCATTCTCAGAGGTATAGCAGTCTTGTAATTGCACAAGATGGGAATATTCACTTTAAATACAATGGAAGGTTCCAGTGGTGGCACTTTTGCTCTGGGTGTTCTTTTTATTATTTTTTTACGGGCATATTGTATATATTGGTTTGCGCTTTGATACATGCTAATGTATTTGCGGTTCACTGTGACACAGTCCAGTTCTGTTCAATTACAAGGAGTGCCTTAATTAAGCCATGGTATAGATTAATAGAAGTTGTCTTGAAAAAAAACAACACCTCACAAGTCATTGCTCCTGGCAGTAATGCAGAGTGTGATGTGTGGTGGGTAGGTGGTCAGTGCCTAATAAGTAGGACTTTATTGATGCTTTGTTTCTGTTCTGAAGTAAAGTAAGTAAGTAAAGTTTATTGATGCAGCGCCTTTCACAAACCAGGATCATGAACAAATTACAATGAAAAACTTCCACTAAAAATAGTACACATACAAGTCATTTCCCAAAACAAGTATACAGAACAATTAACTCTCTTCAAATGGGCCTAAGTATGGTGAGGCGAGAGGTCTTGAGTTGCGAACTGAACTTGTCCACTGACTCAAACATGCGCAGAGACTGTGGAAGCTGATTAAATGGTGATGCTTGGAGATGGGGAGAATATGAAGTATACTGATTATTGTGTGTGTACAAACTTAAGTCATGACCCTTATGGACTGTTCATCTTTCATATTGCATAATGCATCTTTATGGGTAGTCAAAATGGCACTTATGGTCATGTCATGTCATTTTCTTCCCATTTATTAATTCATTTCTGGGTCACATTGGTCTTTCAGCGGGGGCTTTGGGCAGTGTAGGGTAAAGTGTCTTTCCCAAGCACAGCGGACATAAGAGGGGGCAGGTGACATAGGTCGTGGGGGGATCGAACCCTGTCCCCAACTGACCAATGTCGCCCCAGTTGTCATGGTCACAATTATCATATTGCAATAATGTAAAAAATATACTAAATAAGAGCAGAGTGTAATTAATGTGAAGATTTTTCAATGGAATAAGATTATTTCCTGTGGCAGAACACAGGTCTGAATCTGAGAAACTCCACTAGATTCAAGATACAAGAATGATTGTACTCTAGGTTAGAACTCTATGAGAATGTTCTGAAATGATGTATGCTCACATGTATGCTTTTTATACTCTCTTGAAGTGAGTTTATAGTCTGAACACACACTTTTTTAGCCTCCTGTGGAGGCTAAACAACTGATCAGAGTCTTGTGAAAATGATCACAGTCTTGTGATAACCCTATGCGCAGTGCATCTGGTCGGTTCAATGTACAGTAACGGTTGTGTCTATATCAAATAAATAAATAAGTACTCTTGGCTATATAAAATCGCAATGTTATTCTGATTTTGGTAATTAGATATTTAGCCAAAATCGTGGAGCTCTATCACATCAGTTAGTTCTGAGATTTGTCCACCCAGGTTTAGTTCTGAATTTAGCTTAATTTGAAAGCCTTCTGTGGACCCACCCTGATGCTTATTGTCCGTCTTTATACTGATATGAAAGAATTATAAGCTCAAATTTTTACTGATCATTTGCATATCAGTTGATGTATGCATATATATTCACTACGCTATCTCTCGCAATCAGTCTGTTGTTTTCAGCATTTCTTCCAGGTTTGCCGTCCCAGCTTCCGTCAATATTATGTCTTCTCCTGCCAACAATAATTTGCCGTCTGCGACAAGATGTATGCGGCACGATAACTTTTCTGAAGGCTGAATCAACTTTGACAAAATCACTAGAGACAAAAAAGCGCAACTTTTAAACTGCTCTCAAAACAATGGCACATTGAATGAAAATTGCATGGACAACCCGTTGACCACAAGCCCATACACTGTCAGAGTAGAAGCCCATCTCAGATTTTCAGATCAGCAGAGGTTCCATCTTCCCACAGTTTCTGGATCCAATGCAGGTCTGGACTTTGTGCGGTTCTAACACATACTTGTGTTTGTTGCCCATCCTTTCCATTTTATGAGGTGGCTTTTTGTTTAGGGAAATAGTTTGTATGGAATAACACACTGCCAAAAATGATTAAATGTAGTTAGAATCAAGTGTTTTTTTATTTTTATCTTTATCTGAGTACATTTCAATCATTTTCTATCCCTTATTTTGTCCATTCCTGGGTCGGGAGGATGGCAATCAAAGCTGCACCCAAAGCTGGAGAATAAATAAAAACAATAAAGCAAAACAAATGTCCATGTTATAACTCAATTACAACAACACCAGCTGCTTGTAGCACCAGTCCCTCACTGATCCTCCAGCAGGTGGTGAGTCCACAGGAAGATCGCTGCTCCGTCAGCGGTGACACAGCCTTGGTCTTTCAGTGGTAGCTTTGGGGCAAAGTGGGTTAAGTGTCTGGAGTAGGTCTCGTGGGAGGATCAAACCCACACCATTCAGGCCCAAAGGCCAATTCTCTACAAACTGAGTCACTGTCGATGTCATTGTTTAATCTGAGTACAGTCTTGAAACATGATTTGCCAATGGAACAAAGCCATTTAGTCTTCTTTCAAGAAGTGCTGCTTTATTTTCTCATTCCAAGAGAGACATTTCTTGTATCTTTTTCAAATAAGATTTTTTTGCTTGTCCCATTGGGAAATCTTGTTTTAAGGCAGTCAAAATGTGCCCAAATTAAGACACATTTTTAACTTATTTTTCACCACTTTTCTGGTGGTACAAGGATGGAACTGTAAAATTGACAAACAACTGTAGTTAATCAATATGGCTGATCTCCTCAGTATGAACCTCCACGTGTCTGATGTAAAGGATGCCATTTATGAGCCATCTGCTTTCAGATTATTTGTGGATTACATCAATGGAGAAGTACAATCAAGTGCTACTGTTTGCAATGTATCTGAATGCATTTTGTTCATAGATGTTGTGTTGGTGTGTGGCCCACCAGAAACAGCATTGCAATTCTTTATCTATGAATGCCAATTGCATATAAAATGCTAAATCCTTGGCTTCAATCAGTGATCTAACAGATGAAACGATATGAATTATTCGACGTTCTGAATAGCTTTCCAGGACAAATAGACAATATTCCCATGTCTCAGGGTTAATTACCATATAAAAAGCTCCATCCCCTGGT